CGAACAAATCAAATCACTTTGGTTGACAAAAAAATATTGATTTAGAAATTAATTTGTGTTAGCAAAAGTGTCATTAAATTGGTCGAAAAGCGGCATAAAAACCGCCTGTAATTAATTTTAATCCTTCACAAAAAGTGCCTATAAACAGCCGGAATAACGAGAAATATTTATGAAAAATGTCAACGAAGGTAGGGATGTACTCGGCGACTCACGAAAGCACTGCCGTTGCCCGTGGGCAGAGATAGGAAAATACGGACTGCGCTAAGAACCAATCAGATCGTAGGATTCGTTACCGTGCCCTCTGAGAAAAAAAAATTAGAATAATGTACAAAAAGACAGAATGTCGGAGACACATTGTAACAGCTGTTGTCATGGCCTGTATGGTACTTCACAATTTGTGCATTGGGCGGTCTGACCCATGCCTCCCATGTTGGCAGCTTGGAGTAGAAAGACTTAATTTAATTCGTACACCAACCAAACGAACCTAAGATAGGCAGTTAAGTCAACAAATACGTGCACGAATCACTCAGTGGTTATGGTCCTTGAAATCATGAATTATCCCTGGCAGTGGGCCTCACATCATACTTTTGTACTTGTATGGAGCCTCGATAATGAAAACATAGCAGTACAGAGTCCAGACAGATAGGGTTTTGCTGGTTTCAAACAAATTTATGGTATAATATTGGGAAGCACATATAAAAGACACTTTTTTTCAAGTAAAAACTAGGTTTGTGTTATCCTTTTGTTGAAAAAAGTTATTCACCAGTCTTTCCTCTCACTTGAATCCTTATCGGATGCTGCCGCTGTTCCTTGTCTTGCTTTTTCCGCTCGCTCTTAAAGCTGCAAATTTGCTCTCTGTGAAATGGCATCGAAGAATATTAGTTTCCCCTTAAAACGTGCCCAGACGCAGATTTATGTCTCATAAAACAAGCATCACATGACCAAGATGGAGAAAAAACTTTCCCGCTGTATCCAATTGTATTTGTGCACGTCCGAAAAACTATGTTAAAGCTCTCCCTTTTTCACTCACTACCTCACCTTAGAAATTTGAAGACGAAAGTCTGTCCCACGCGTACCTCTCGGAAGACAACACTTCTTGAGCCTCGCGACCTTTTGTTTTATTTCAGACGAACTTCTGCTTGTGATATTGTTATCTGTAATGGAAGATTAAACGTACAAAGTTCGAGGGTTTTTAAAACTAGAAACCATTGTTTTTTGGGTCGCACTAGATTAAAGCCTCTCATCCAGTGGTGCGGGTGAATACAATTGAATGTACAATTTGAATTGAACCCTCTTTTACTTGCCGAAAACCTGGTTGATGAAGTAAAAATTAACATGCCTCATTTTCCATCTGGAGAGAACGTCTCTACTGTCCAAAAAAAAACCATTTGGCTGTTTATGTCTTCCATCTAAGAGCCCTCCAAGAGATGGGTTTAATGTTATTGACGCTAAACTGTATCCTTTTTAACGGTCCTTTTCACGGACACAAGTTTGTGATTGAAGGCTTCATGTGGATACACGATAAATGTTCCACATTTCCAGTAAAAATTGATTTATGATCGTTGAAATGGTGAATTCAGACTTTTTTCATCATTGTAAATGCATGATATCACTAGAAATCGTCTTTACCTCAGTCTATAAAAGTAGGGAAGCATTATCACAGTTTACGTCAAGAAACCGTAGTGCCAGAACAATTTACCGTAAATTGACTGCAAATGCATACCTCACAATCCCTTCTTTAGGTGCAGTGTTGTTTTCTCGCTTGGGGCCAAGTAAAATTAATTGGATTAAGTTAGGTACTTTATCAGCTTGCTTGGAAAGTGAAGTAGTATATAAATAGGCATAAATATTCTTTTATTTATTCATTTATTTTTATTCATCTATTTGTTATTTATTCATCTCTCTGTCTCGTTTTGAATAACAAAGAAAGAAGGTCACGGAATGTCTGGATGTTTGGAATCGTCATTGCGCAACCCTCCTTCCCGTTCTGACCAAATGTCTTTTTCCTCAAGGAGTCCATATTCAAGAAGCGGAGTTAGCCTGGAAAATTTTAAAAAGTCTATCAAACGAAGGAAGCTTATATCTGAAGATGATCCTCCATTTATTTGGATGAACGTATGCAGAGACAGTAAAGAGGACAATAAGACGTTATAAGAAATTTCCATCCTCTTATAGCCTCATAGTATACCAACTATGTAAAACAAACATTTCGAGCCATATCTTTTGCTTTGTGCCATTGCAATTCGTTAAGCGTCGCCATCTAATGCAAATTAATCGTTATCGTCCTCTTAAGCCGCCTCTATGGTATCATAAGGTCCCTTGTGAAAAAAATAGGATGCTCAATCCACGAAAAAAATTCGCACAGTGCGTTGAATCATTTCAAAAACAAACACTGGGCGTAACTTTCAATTCAAAAAATTCTCAATTATATAATTATTCCTTACCGAGAGAAGATATATTTTCAAGTACACGGCCAGAATCGACCTGTGGCTTTCTTGCAGGTGTCGTTCTCAGCCGCGAGAAATGCCATTACCAAAAGCCAGTTAGGTAACTTTCGCTTTTATTATTACTTTTCATATTTTGGTTTTCTTTCACGTTTAGGAAATTTTGAACGTCGAATACGTCTGAAAGAGACCACGGTGGCTTTGATCAAGTTTATCAATATGTCAGTTCCCACAGAAGGAAATTTGTGGAAACACCCATTCGTAATCAACATTTAAGTGTGTTTCCTTGAATCTCCAGGCTTTAAACACCCAGCTCCCTCCAACCCCAATTAATCAATCAACAAACCACGTCAGACTAAATATTACTTCAGAAGAAAATAAATTTGCTTTTATTCATACTAGACCTCTTGAGGGAATTCTCAGCTTTATCTTTGTAAATTGTGCGAACATATGCACGTGAATGAGATGAACCAGATTGCTTGTTTTTACTTAGTTCTACACTTATAAATATAATCCATGTCACCTCTTGAAGTTACGACAACTTGTTAAATTTAAAAAGCTTGCTAGCATTTTGTGATCGAAATCCCTCTGTGTTTTTTTGTTTTTTGCATGTATGGTAACAGCAATAAAAAGCATTGATTGTTTTTTCGTGGAGGTATTGTTTACATAATAAGCAGTAAAAACTACTTTTCGAGCATTGCCATGAGTTAAGTGGTGCTTACAATATATAATGAAATACACCAAATATATGACAAAGGTAAACTTATAGGCCGAGAAATGATAAAGTTACTGATTAGTTTCCTTGAATTTCTTTTAATATTTCATGGCCATAGAATGGAATGGTAGGGATGAGGTGGGGGGGGTAGGGAAAAGTAAGTAGCCCCCCTACTTTTCTCTGGAAACGTTTAAAATGTTTGATAAGCATTGCCCTGAGACTGTAGTTATTTTTATTTGTTTTTGTTAGCATTACCAAAGACCGAAACACACGAGAGAAACAGTAAACCAAATGTAATCAAAGTGCTCTGTGAGCAAACTCGTGAATTGACAGATGACTTACATGATTTTTTTGGATTACATTTAATGTTATCTGGTTAAGGGAATTTTGTGGTTGATTGTCATATACAGAGTATGAGCAGTAGTTCAGTGTTCGCTAATAATGTAGCAAAGAAACAAAGTAACGCTGGGGTAAGAAGGCATTACAATTGAAATGATCATGCTATTACATTTGACAAGGGTGGATGATGTCATGTGTTTTAAACATGTATTATTTTTGTATCTGGTTCAAAAGAAAAAGTTGGTAATAAATGTAGGTGAAAAGTGAAATTTACTGTCTATCATTGTAAATATTGGAAAATCAAGGCAATACTGTATTAATGAAAACATTGATGATTCTCTCTTTATCAAATGAGACAAACGGAAACGAGTTTTGAGTGATATAACTAAGGCCAGACTGCCACAGTCATTTTGATTTCCGCCTGGGTAGATTTTGGTCATGTGCTAGGCAACGTATAATCAAGAACAAGATCGAATTTCATTTCAGGCCGATTTATCAACTTTTGCATTTGAATACGTAATATTTACTTTGAATCTTCACATTGTCTTGAAACTTAAAAGAAAATTGTTCTTTAAAAATTCAGTGAAAATCGGTTGCGAAATTATTTGTTTAGGTGTTATTTGATCTTCGTGTTTATGTGTAATTTCGTCAATAGCTGGCACCTTTTGTCGCTTCACACAGGAAAAACACTCGACAGGAAATGTAAGGATCGATTTTGTCCCAATCTCACGCCATAGGAGAAAAAGCTTTTGACCACCTGTTAACTCCAAGTAGAAACAGTACAGTTGGGACTCAGAAACACGCAGTTGGGACTCAGTAAAGGGTGACTACTACCCTTAATAGTGGTTACCACTTATCAGTTACAGTTTTTAAGGGGAAAATTCCGGGACTTTTTTTTAGAGGGAAATGACATGATTTTCAGGAGGAACGGAGGGGGGATCAGTCATCTCTAACAAAGTAAAAAGGGTGGACTACAGAAAAATGACGGCCAATCAGGTGGATCATAGGAATACTACAGAGCATTGGAGGTGTTTACTAAATTTCATTTTGACACAATCAAAATCCTCCTATCCCCCCTGTCCCATTCCTAGGAGGTGGATAACGCTCAGTCCTCATTGTTTCTTTGGCTAGGCCCAAAGAGACATTCCAGCACACTTTCTTAGGACAGGATGACCTTAAAAAGGCGAAACGGAAAAATGCCAAAGAGAATAATTTTATGTACACATACTTCGTAATTTTAAATCGATATGGTATGATCAATATTTAACATGAAATTATCTTAGCACCAAGAAAAAGCTCAGAGGCTCAAAATGCAATCGTGCAGGAAAGTTATTGACGCCTCAAAAACTAAATCCACAATATTTAACAGGAGCTAAGGATCAGAAACATGTTATACATATCTTAGACAATGAGGAATGGAAGGAAAATTGCCAAAGAGACGCAAATAAGCCATGATGTGAAGATCATTTTTAAATTTTTGCCGTTGCTTTATTTATCCCTAGTTCATACAACCAGCACCTTTTCTTTGGACAAAATAATCACTAAAATCTATAAAATCAGAATCCCAGAGTTTAATGGTGGCCCTTTGAGAACGAGAAGAATCGGCCATCATGTTACTTGGTGCATACAGCGCAGGTCAACTCTCGTCCATCTACATATGGACGACACGGGAGTGAGTTACAAACACCTTCCACGGGGTACAGTAATGCACCATGTTTCTTTGCCTTAGAACCTGAGTAAGACTCCGCGTCCTCGTCAACACATATGAAGTTGTGTTGCTTCTTGTGGCTCCGGTATGCAGTCATCAAGTACCCATGATACTCCTCGGTCCAGCCAGATGGACAATCATTTCTTGCGGGCATCATGAGCATTGAGGCACGAGACTTGACAAAACATACCACGCACGGTGCATGATGGTCATGGAGGTTTTTCTTAAAAGGGTTGAAAGTGGATACTTGATAATCAGCACCATACATGTATCCCGAGTTCTGCCCTCCGTCTTTGTACTTGTCATACTTTGGACTGCTTGGAAGACAGAGATAGTCCACTCCACCACCTTGGTTAAGGTAATATCCACCACCAATCAATCCTAGGGAGACAATTGATGATAAACAATATTAAAAGTCTGGCTTTATTAAAAATAAAAATAATTTTTGGTATGTTACCCGACGTATATAAGCGAGAAGAACGATTCTTTAAATGTCATTTTACTCATCAACATTTTCCATCGTTGCGGTCAGTGAAATAATGATTTATTTGAGCTGTCTGCTACCTTAAATCGCAAAGGTAATAACGAATGGGAAGTTTAACCTTTTTTCTATTATTCCTTTGGACACTGACAAGCAGCTCTCCTTATCACTGACTGTTACCTTTGTAAACAATCTGAGCACCACTGGGACACGTCGTTCTTCCCCAACGAACATACTTTATCCCAGACTTGCCGGGTTTTCCAGGTTTTCCAACTGCTCCTGCAGAGTTAATTGGGTCAGGTTTAGTGGTCAATTTTATCTTTACTGCCTCACATTTGTTGATGGTGAAGTTATACGTGATTAAAAATGCTGTGTTAAGTGACAATAGGGAGAAGATGTTTTTTTTGCCTATTTTTCTTGCAATAAACACCTGAAGGAAAGGTTACCTTCCGGGAAATTTGTTTGACGTAACTAAGTGACAGTGCTGTATCTTTATGTCAATATGACTTAAAGCTGAACTCAGCTAAAATGACCGCCATAAATGTCAACGCAAAATTGTGTTAGCATCCTTAACCATAAAATGACATCCATATATCACTCCCTCTCCACATTCAGCTCAATTCAATTAATCGAACCGATTTAGTTTACTTAAACAAGTTGCTGTAGTCGTTTTTTTTTTCAGATGAATTTTAAGTCAAGGAAGCCAAAGGCAGAGGGGGAGGAAATGTTAGTTTATACTGAGATAGGAATAACACTGAAGCACATGGTGACTCGTACATATTCTTTTCCTTTCAATCGTGCTTTTCCCGGCTTACCATCTTTCCCCGGGGGTCCTGGGGGTCCAACAATGCCTCGTCCGTTATTCCGACCATTCCCTCCTGAAAACATGAGAGAAAGTACTTGAAGCGATAATTTAAAAGAACAACACAATTATCCTAGAATGGAAAAAAGAGTAATAATATACAAACCCAAAAAGTAGCTCGAGAACCATGAATCCCCATATTTAGGTCTTAGCAATGTTTCCAGCCTAACAGAGCGTAATCAAAACAAAGAAAATTACTGACAAAACCGCTTTTACAAACAATCTTTTTAAACATAATCCTACCAAATTTGGTAATATCCTGTAGCACGCAGATAAGCTGATGATTGATTTCATGAAAACGATAATTATTATAAAAGATAATTATTATTAAAGATAGTGAGGATTAAGTGATTGGAGGGTATGTAATTGGTAGTGACTACGGCAACCATATAGTAACTAGCAAACTACATTAACTACAGCAACTACATTAACTACACAAGCCACAATGACTATACAAAATACAATGACTACACAAACTACAGAAACTACTTCAACTATAGTAACTACACAAGTCAAAATGACTATACAAACTACGATAACTACACTAACTATAGTAACTTCATAAACCACACTAACTACACAAACTACAGTAACTACACAAACTAAAGTAACTACATAAACCATAGTAACTACACAAAATACAGTAACTACATAAACTACAATTACTACCAAACTATAGTAACTACATAAACCACAGTAACTACACAAACTACAGTAACTATACATACTACAGTAACTACATAAACTGCAGTAACTACACAAACTACAGTAACTACATAAACTACACTAACTACACATACTACAGTAACTGCACAAACCACAGTAACTACACAAACTACAGTAACTACATAAACTACAGTAACTACACAAACTACATTAACTACACAAACCACAGTAACTACACAAAATACAGTAACTACATAAACTGCAATTACTACCAAACTGTAGTAACTACATATATTACAGTAACTACATAAACTACAGTAACTACACAAACTACAGTAACTACACAAACAACAGTAACTACATAAACTACAGTAACTGCATAAGCTACACAAACTACAGTAACTACACAAACTACAATAATTACACAAACTACAGCAACTACTCAAACTATAGTAACTACACAAACTACAACAACTATCCAAACTACAGGAACTACACAAACTACAATAACTTCAAAAACTACAGTAATTACACAAACTACAGTTACTACATAAACTACAGTAACTACACAAACTACAGTAACTACATAAACTACAGTAACTACATAAACTACACTAACTACACATACCACACAAACTACACAAACTACAGTAACTTCACAAACTACACAAACTACACAAACTACACTAACTACAGTAACTACATGAACTACAGTAACTACACAAACTACAGTAACTTCACAAACTACAGTAACTACATAAACTACACTAACTATATAAACTACAGTAACTTCACAAACTGCACTAACTACACAAACTACACTAATTACAGTAACTACACAAAGTGCAGTAACTACATAAAATACAGTAACTACATAAACTACAGTAACTACACAAACTACAGTAACTACATAAATTACAGTAACTACATAAACTACAGTAACTACATAAACTACAGTAACTACATAAAATACAGTAACTACTAACTACAGTAACTACATAAACTACAGTAACTAAATAAACTACAGTAACTACATAAACTACAGTAACTACATAAACTTCAGTAACTACATAAACTACAGTAACAACATAAACTACAGTAACTACACAAAGTACGGTAACTACATAAACTACAGTATCTACATAAACTACAGTAACTACATATATTAACTGAAATACTTCAGAATCTGCATTAACCAGAGCAAATAAAACTTATCAAAGAAAACTCAAGAAATGCTAAGGTGTCATTTACTGCACAAATAACATTGATTGCAATAACTTCAAGTGACCACTGAAAACTTTAGTGAGTAAAATAATATTCTTCTGTGATTACTCAAAACACTATTTCTGTGAAATACAGAAATTACACAAACTGTAATGACTACGTAAACTAATCTGTCTACTGAGTCTACGTCAATTCAATCAATACTGTAATGATAGCAAACTATAAAAATTAAAACTATTACACAGCATATTAATTTGGCAAACTACATCAACTAAATAATCTAATTCTATATTGTCGGCAGATAACTTCACAAATAATTTCAAAATGATCTTAGAGCAAAATAGAAAAAAAAAATGGCCTAAGTTACTTTTTATCGCTCGCGCGGTAGGATTTGAGTTCTAGTTAATTCAAGGTAATATGTCTGTAGATGTGTGGAAGCGCTTCTCGCGTTATTCCGACCTACCTCTCACAAATTGTTCTAACTTTGAATTTTTTCTACGTGGGACTTTGATGAACCAAAAATTGAGTTTGTCTTAAATTTAAGATAAATGTCAGTGGAGAAACAGACTTACTTTTTCTCCAAAGCTTGCAGTCGTTGATGAACATTATTCAGGTTTGGGATGACATTCGTTATATTTTCGCGGGACCTTTTCTGACGTTCAGGCAGGATTTCTGCCGCCGGAGCATCTTCTAATCCTTTTTTTTCAGGCGTTTCTTCCGTGGCGACGATTTCACGCAGGGTGAAACACATTGCAAACACGAGCACGGATGTTATTAACATTATGGTGTAGATACGTATGAATCTTTGCGTCAGTTGCTCAGAAAATTCGTTTCCGTGTAAGGAAAAGATCAACTCTTTCGTCTTCATAAGAAAACTGTGAGCTGTGAAATCTTTGATAACAATTATTAAAGCATTATTCAAACAAGACTGCATGAGTCAGGGGCGAGAACTTTTTCGCGTTTGCTGCTACATTACAATTACAATAAGATGGCCAGAATCTGTCGAAAACTTAATTTTGGTAGGGTGACAAGTTTATCTATAGTATCAAATTGTAGAGCGCGCGAGGAGGGCTCTAAAAGAAATATCTAAGCACTTTCATGGATCAAAACGAACTTTCCTCGTTCAAGAGTTGTTCAGCGTGAAACCATCTTCATGGCAGGTGCTACGTACGAAAACTCTGGGGACGAACGTACCTTGGCACTTGTCACGGGCTACCCTAAGTGCAGATACATCGAATATACAAATATTGACTTTTTTTGAGATCATGTCACAAAGCAATATAAACAGATTCATTGACTGCGTGACAAGCTGTTGTAATCACATTCTGAAAATAGTTGAACTTGTAAAATTATCAATGTGAATTTTTCCTTCGATTCTTTCATACACAAACCTTGGTTGTTATTCCTGCTATGAATATCACGGCAGCAATGACGACTATCCCTTTGGAAATAATTTTTTTTATATTTGGTCGCCTGCCTTCCTTCCTTCCTTCCAGTTACACAGCATTCGTGAAGTTGAAGGGAGTCGGAGTAAGTCACTAGATCAAGCTAGCCACAATCGTGCCTGTTGTCGTCGAAAGATTTCGGGGAAATAAGCGGGATATGCATAATTTCGACCTTAAACGTTCACAAATGACCGTAATTTATACCCTTCACCTGTATCTCCAAACGCGCTTTATCGGAACTTAGGCAGCCTAGGAAGTGCATCCACACCGTTTTTTCAAGTTACACAGCATTCGTGAAGTTGAAGGGAGTCGGAGTAAGTCACTAGATCAAGCTAGCCACAATCGCGCTTGTTGTCGTCGAAAGATTTCGGGGAAATCAGTGAGATATGCATAATTTCGACCTTAAACGTTCACAAATGACCGTAATTTATACCCTTCACCTGTATCTCCAAACGCGCTTTATCGGAACTTAGGCAGCCTGGGAAGTGCATCCATACCGTTTTTTCAAGTTTCACATTTGAAATTTTTTCATTTCTCCCAGGAATAATCAAAACCCACCGACTTAGGAAGAGATTCTTGGCTCGCTGGTAACACAGCAAAAAGTGGGGGTCACCGTATTCGGTTTTGAGTTATGGAAACATAAAGTTAAATTCGAGGGCGCTTTCAGGAGAATTTGGCGTTACCATGATAACCTGTAGTGTCAGAGGAGAGATTCTTAAATTGACTGGTTTTCACTGAGAATTGTCAGTGTCGTTATGTTAGTGTTTTGCTAAAGAAACTTGTTTGATGTTTAGAACACATCAGATCACCAAAATAACGCATTTCTAAAACAGAGTTTCTCTTAAACTATTTTGCTACACTCCTGAAGCCTCGGAATAACAGGACTCCATCAAAGACATATCATACCAAATTATACAACATCTATGTCATCTTTAATTAAAAGTTTCATCGAAGCACGAAAGTTTGAATTTTTTAAAATCAACTAAATTAGTACTTCGAAAGCAAAAGTGTCCGAATTTCGAATAACCACAAACCGCAGCTCGTAAGAATTAAAAAAAGGCGGAGCAGTAATTTGGATTAAAGATTTTGATACAAAAACGATCGAGTGAAACTGTCTCTTACATTGAGTCTTGTACATCCAGCTACACGTAACATTCCGAATTTGTTACTTGGCCCTATTCAGCCGGGTCTCGGAACTGCTCCAGATCTTTTCTTTCTTTGAAATCTTTACTAACCAATTCACCGTATTTACAACGACAATTCTTAGCCTGCAGACAAGACGTAGTTTTTGCGTTTTGCAAGTGTTTGGAGGCAAGCGTGACAAGAACGCGAAATGCGGAAGAGCTTTTCCCATCGTCTGCACGCCTAGATACGCCGCGTAAATGACGTGCGCTCCCGCGACAGGTTTAAATCTTCGTAATCCTCTTCAGGTCGCTTTCAGAAAATCGCGAGGTATCTGTTACAGTTCTGATTCAAAGCATCACTGGTTATGTCATTACAAAGCGTTTTACTGGCCGTGGTAAGGTTCAAAGCGGAGACATTTAGTATTACACACTTTTTAGTAAAAATTGATCCTGCTTCTTCTTCCTTCAGTCCAACTCTAATTACACCGTGAGTAATGAGAAAAAGATATCGAAGTTTTGAAGTGCTCGCCATCTCTTGTAATGTCTAAATTGTGAAAAATGAAAGAAGCTTTAAGCACATGTATTTAACAAATACATTACAAATGGCATTTTTGTTTTAAAGCAAGCCAGGAGCAGATGAAACACAGAATAAATGTCGAGAGAAATGGAAGATGTCGTGCCTTCTCATGAAATGCACAATAAGATTCCTAACTGGTAATTAATCGCAGAAGAACAGAGGCCCTTTTGATGCAATCGGGAACGTTTTGATTTGGGTCGTGGCGAAAAAATTCTGAAGAAAAAAATCGGAAATTTAATTTCAAGTCATGACACACTGTTTTAGCTAATTAGAGGGTGCGCTGTATGGACGATGCGACTGTACTCGGCAATTTGAAGAACAAAATTAAGAGTGCTATACTAAAAGTCTACTGCAATTGGGTGTAAAATCGATGGCTTGCTCGTGTGCTTCAACAAAAGAAAAGCGATTGCTCACTAAAACATTTTAGTTTAGGCATTTAGCTGATCGTGTGATCGTGACTAAAGCTCGAAAAACGTCAGCCTTGTTTGTTAGTTTCAAAGGAATTTTCTTTGCAATGGTAGCGTTCAAATCTAATTTTGAATAATTTTATGAAATGCCTGAAACATAACTGATTTGATTACGTTTTGGTAAAGCGATTCGGGCTAGAGACCAGAATTTACACATAAAAGATCCGCTTGAATTCTCCAACTGAGCTTTTCTTTATAAACACATCCTTGAACTGTTCCCTGTCGTCATACACCGAAGTTGTTTGCTTTTCGCTCACTTCGGTACACAACCGAACTCACATCAAAAGTGCATAAAAGCAATACAATATCTTACCTTAGCAATATTCGTGTTTCAAGAGTTTTTCACCGCGTTTCTGTAATGTAAACTGATTTCCTTTCTCCTTGAGATCAACACGACCCTCGAGAAGCTGCTGTTGTGGGTATGTGTTCGATTAATCACTGCCCTCAGGGAAAACCTTTTGCTCGAGCCTCGTAATTCGATCGTTCATATTCAAATAGATAAACACGATTCCAAGAAGAAACCCCACGATGCAGAAGAAAAACAGAGATACCAAGGTGAAACGAGCAACGCAGTCATCAGACCGCTTTCCTGAAAGCGCCATATCGCTCATTGACTTATGGGAATTGTTTCGACCATTTGTCTTTATTCGTGAAGATTTGTACAATAAAGCCTAATGTGAGTAAATGTCGCGTCATCTTTTGTGTTCATTATTAATCCAGCTTGATTGATCCAATTCATTGAAATAAGTTGTTGCTGTAGGTTTTCGTTGTTTCCAGATGAATTTTAGGTGTCGGAGGCCGAAGGTGGGAAGGGATAAGGAGGGAGGGGAGGATTTAAATAGAAAAAAGTAGAAAACTGAGTTATTTATATTCAAGATATACATTCAAGATGTACGGACACCGAAAACGGAGGTTTTCAAGTACGCTCGAATAAATAATACGGAATACTTCAGAAGGTGGCGAGATATTTTGAGGCTTTTATCGGTGCAGAACTTCAGAGGAACGCACTTGAAATGTCTCAGGCGAAGCCCGCCGAAAGCTCGAAGATTTTAGATGCGTCCTGGGCGCACTAGCGCATGGTGGGAGAATTTTGTAGCGGGTATAGTAACAGACGAAGAATGGAGCGAGAATTTTCGAATGACTCCCAGTCAGTTTTGACGCTTGTTTGGGAGACTTTGTACACTTGAGTAACCTTGAGTAAAAGCTCCACCTCGTCGTCTGACCAGACGAAGGACTCTGTTTTTCCTTCTGCTTTTCCCTTGCCTTTAGATTTGGATGTCTTTTTGCTGGAGTTTGCCATGGTGAAGAGTACATGAAAGTTTCAAAGTCGAGGGAGTGAGCAACACGATGTGAAATTAAACAAAGATGGCGCGGAAACTTGACTTTCGCGGGCTCAGATGTTTAATAATGCACATGCTCTGTGAGTGAAGTCTAGCGTTTTTAAATCATATTCGCGTATACGTGTAGACGGTCAAATACGATTCGAAAACGCTACGTATGGACGCAGATTTTTTTAAATACGGAAAAAGAAATCTCCGTTTTCGAAAATACCCGGCAACGTGTGGACGGGGTCTAAATCACTCACATATGCATCTCGAGGCGCGCTATATTTGGATTGTCGGTCGCCTGAGTGACGCATCCTTACCATTAATCAAGTTTTACTTTAAAATTGTTTTGATCCGAGGGAATAAATAAAGCTCAAAGACTTGAAAGGAGATTCAAGTAAAAAAATGTCGGGTGGCTTAAAACACAATAAAATGGGGGACACAGAGATGGAAAAATTTTTTTTTGAGAGATGGAAAAATAAAGCCAAATTAAAGAATATATTTTAGAGGATTTTGCTGTTGCCATAATAACTTGTTATGCCGGGGAGGGGAGCCTATATTAGGATTTTTATGATCGCAACAAATGAAGGTGGAGTGGATGTAGGCATCCATTAAACGATAGATTTTTGGAAGTGTAACGTAATTATTTTGAGTCTCCTTGACTTCGCGCAGCTTGAGTTTGAAAATTTTTGTCTGTTATCGTGACTTGCCATTCATGAATGTGTCAAGGTTCTGCTAAAAAAAAGACTTGTCTGGTAACAAGAACACCGCACCAATTTGAAGCATTCCGGTATTATATCCCGCATATCTAGAACAGACTATCATAACAATCAACACATCATGTATCATCTTTACGCAATTCGAAGCTGTATTAAAGCACTAAATTTGAGAAGACTATATTAATTCTAAAACCAACTAGATTAATACCTTAAATATTAAAACCGTCCTGATTTCGAAAAAGACAGATAACTCAACTGACAATTAGAATTTAAAACATGATTGGGCCTATCCATTCGTCTAAATAGGCAAGGCTGTAGTCTGGATCTAGGATCACATCAAATGTCTTTGGTTTTGGAGTCCCATACTTCTAGCAGCGTATGATACTCTGATTTTGCTATCTCCCCCCCTTCTCCATTCAGTATGATGGAACAGAAGGTGTAAGGAGAGCTCTGATAAAATTTTTTGGCACTTTTGAGGATCCAGATTAAATCAGTTGTTTCTCTAAAATGTTAAAATATTAAGTGGACACTTCACAGTATTTTTAACGGCAATTCCAGGACTAAAGATCAGACGTAGATTTTGAGTTTCCAAGCGCTATACGAACTTGAATCAGGAAAGGCCCTCCTTTCTTCGCGCTTGTCGCCGCAAAACTGAGGGTGACATAAAGATTACGGTTGTTCCAGATCTTAAATCTTCATATCAATTCCAAGGTATCCTCCCTTGTCGCTTTCAGGAAACTGCGAGGTACCTATTTTCCTTCTGGCCATTTATGTCATTGCAATGCGTTGTGCTTGTCGTGTCAAGCTACAAAGCACAGGCATGTCAACTCTGGTGATAAACACTCTACAAAAAATAGATCTTGCTCGTTTTTCCTTCACTTCAACTTTCATGACACTGCGAGTGTATGTGGGAGTGCTTAATGTCTCTTGAAATGTGTTAATTGGGAAAATAGGGGAAACTTCAAGTAAATGTGATTAAAAGGTACAGACGAAGAGTGTCACACCCAGTCAGTCCTTATATGTAGGTAATGGGTATAAAATCGATTGGTAGCTCTTGTACCTCGGCGAAAAACTTCAATATTTTTTAAAAGCAACGAGACGAATTCAAGTCTTGCTTCTTAATTTCAAAGGAATTTCTTTGTCATGGTTAAAAATTTTGAATCATTTGATGAAAAATTAACCAACTTGAATATTTTAAATAAAGCCATTCACGCTAGAGACACCAGAATCAATATAATGCAAGCGAATGTGGATACATTTGACTTCTTCTCATAGGCTTTCCCTACAAAATCTTCCTTGAACTTTTCTCTGTCATCATGCACAAAAAGTGCTCCCTCTTCGATAACATCGGTGAACACAATCAAAATCAAATCTTAAAGAACCTACGCCAGCAATATTCGTGTTTCGCGAATTTATCACCGCCTCTCTATGATGCAGACTGATTTAATTCCTCGTGGGGTCACCACAACCCTCAAGAAGCTGCTTTTCTGGGTACCTGTTTGATTACTCACCACCCTCAGGGAAAACCTTCTCGCGCTTCGTTATTCGATTGTTCACATTCAAATAAATAAACACGGTTCCAAGAAGAAACCTCCCCCAGCAGAAGAAGAACAGGGAAATCTAGGTGAAACGAGTAACACACTCATCAGACCGCTTTTCTGAAAGCGCCGTATCGCTAAGTGACCTATAAGAATTGCTCTGATCAGTGAATATTAACCTTAATTTGTACAGATCTATCGCGTCATCTTTTGTATTCAGTATTTACGCTGTTCAAACATCTCAACTAGCTGTTATTCGTGTGTGTACCGGTCATCAAGAGTGTGCTATATAGACGGCATACGTAAAGGCATCTTTTTCGGAGTAGGGATCTAATATTTCTGCGAAAAATATCACACTCAGTGTCGCGTAGAATACTGGGTGAATTTTGACAAGAGTTATAAATGGAACATTATGTGTAAAATATATCCAATATATCCCAAAGAAGATACAGCTTAAACACTGTATACGTTAAAGACAGTCAATAAATTGAAATTTTCAAGTTTTGCGAGTTCCAAGTTCCAGCCTTGATATCTTTTGAGATCTTTTTCTTTCTCAAGGAAATGGAAAGAGTCTAACAAAAAACGAACCTGAACTAGGGAAGTAGGGAAGTCAGGTGAGAAGACAGTTTTTTATGGGAAAGAAATAGATACAAAATTAAACAATCACAAATACTCACATTTTATGAAAAAAAATCCTATAACATTCATCTTTCAGTTACCCCAATACTCATATTGCATTTGCACTTCACCAGATTTGCGTCTATTCATAGCTAGCGCATCAATCCAAATTAAACGAGTGGAAAAGCAATTTCCGATGTCACGAACTTCTAAGAATCTATGCAGTACTACATAAAACATGCATGGATACGACGCATCTTTTGAGTACAGATATTTCCGAAAGTTGCAGCGAAATATGGCAAATAAACAACTTGTGGGGTTTGCACTAAAGGTTATGTCACTATGCGTGTGCAATGGTTGCCAGGCGGGGCTTCCGTGAAGTTTCTAAGAGGTTTGTGAATTATGTGTTAAGCATGGATTATTCCTTGTAAATCTTCCATCGAGATTTCATACAAATCCTCAAGTGTTGTGAGAGAAAACGAACGAGATTTACAGCCAGAGAGGCAATCACATTAGTGAGTTTACCATCATACATTCGCCTCATCATCACGATTGCTTGAGAATTTTGCATCATCAATCCCTTCCTCAAAGTATTTCTGAAAATGAAGCGATTAGAACAATTTCATTACATATATGAATAATCTTTTAATCGATTCAAGCCGGCATACGAAAGCAAGGAAAAATGGCTAACCTTCCACACATTTTGGTGGAAATTCTCTCCGTGATCACTGTTAGTTTGTCCAAGGTCTCTTATAGGAGACTTAAATTGTCGGTCGTCATCTGTGAGAAACCCTGCGTCATGAATTGCCAAGTAGTTACGCAACTGGATGTAAACATCAGCGTGGAAGTTGTCAGCAACACTGTCACCTAATTCTTTCAACTCGTCCATACAGGATCGGATGTTTGTTTCGTCACAAAAGGATTTCTGTAGAGAAGATAAAAAAGTGCAAATGGCTCACTACGTTGTCATCTATTACAAAAATATTTATTTGTACGAACTGCGCGTTTGAGTTCCTGTTATTCGAGTTGAATTCTGTTATGTAAATAAGTCCAGGTTACTGGCTAGTTGAATTTTAAGCGAATTTAAAAGAAACTTTTTAATCATTTATGTAAGGCTGTACTTAGTATTGTTTCTGGAAAACAGTTCTCCTTCAGGTAAAAAAAAAAAAAAAAAACGAAACAGAACAAAACCAAAAAACAGAACTTCAGACATTGGTTCTGGGAATGTTACCTGCATGGTAATTGTGTCATCTACGTTGACATTGCTCCACCACCAGCCTGAGGGGATGTAAAGTATCTCCCCTGCCTCCTGTAGACATTCCTGTGGTTTGTGTTCATCTTGTAACTCAGGTTTAGTATAAATCCACCAGGTAAATGACTCAGACTGCTGAGAATTCTGTGTTCGATGATTATTGTGATTTACTCCTAAAGGACGATTAATTCAGTTCTCATTTGTAACCCGATTAAGGGTATTTTCAGATTATATCAAAATATTATCCGACATTAAGATGATAATAATGGATACACATGTCAACTGGGTATGTGTTTGAATTTGACATCAAATTCATTTCACGCACCCATCAGAGAAATGTGTAACAATTACACCGCCGGAAAATTATAGTTCAAATCGTTAGATCAATGGATTTCAAGGGTTAAGTGAAATGGCTAAGAACTTACAACTTTGAAGCTTTTAAAGGCTAGACAAAGGGTTTAGTTTTTGAAATTGACGTTCATAACCTTAGAAAGTCAATGACCGTAGGAGAAGGCCACAGTCTGCTTTGAAGCCGCTGTCCAAAATTTAACCCTTTAACTCCCAAGATCTCATTAGTAATTCTCCTTACTGTCTACCATACAATTCTTGTGATGTTAGTATGGATAATTTGGTATTGGATCAACTTATAATCCCCTAATTGATATTTTTCTTTATTCTCATCACTGGTCTGCTTGATATTGTATTGATATTGTAAGGAGAAATTCTGTCTTGGTCACTCTTGGGAATTAAAGGGTTAAGACAGGGAAGGAACCTATACAAGGACTAGGGAGAAACGTTTAGACGAATTTGACCACCCCATACAAAGCAGTCGAAAGGAAGACAGAAGACAACTGAACGAAAAAAAAAAGAAATGTAACGCACCTGGTACATAATACTTTGATGGTGGATAAAGACCCCAAAGCTTTTTGCCTTGTATTAGAGCACTCCATAATGAGGCATTTAGTGCCTCTACGCGCCAGTGAAAACCAGATCTTGTTGGAGCCATCTCAAAAGAAAGCTGGGGAGGACGAATATCTTCGTCTACAACTTCCTGAAAATTTAAAAAGATGAAGGGATATCTCGATAATAAAGAATGGTAGATAAATGAATTCTCTATTAAGGGGATGCCACGACCAAATCAGTTTTCTTTTCTAGAGAAAAAAGGCTGGACAGCATTGTCTACTCATGATTTAGATCGCAAAAGATACAAGTGTTAATAATACCTTTATATTAAGATGGCCATTGACAAAGGACGAGATCAAATATTTCGTCCAGTGGCCTGCAGCTAACATAGGTTCGAGAGAATACGATTATGTGAACCTTCATTTGAATCACCATTTACAGGCAGTCATTAAGGTTTTTATCTTAAAGACCTTGCCGCTTATGTCTCCCAAAGAATTTAACAAACAAACAAAGTAACAGGAATATTAAAGAAACGATCGCAAAAAGCTTATAGACCAAAAACACCCAAACGTACACATATATAAACAAAACAAAACAAAACCAGCCAAGAGACAAAACATAAGAAAGTAGAAATCAAGAAAATAACTGGACCAATATTTTTCTTTCGGAGATATATTGGTTTTCAACATGCATCTGAGTTCGAATAAGAATCTTCTAGTCCAAAACCGGGCTACTGACCTCAAAATAGTCTTTAGAAAATTTCGGGAAATTTATTGCATCCATAAGCTCAGGGTAAATCTGATGGAAATCTGTCATAATCACTTGGGCTGGATCTTTGTACATGTCAGCAAACAGAGCACGAAATTCGTTCCACTGTGAATAGGGAGTGGTATTCTCCATGATGTTAACCTTCACTCCTTTAGTGAGGATACTACCTGCAAGGAAAGTCATTAAGTGTTTCCACATCACTGTGACTAGTTTAATCAGTGGATGCGAATTTCTAACACCAGTGGAGCATAACTTGGCCTATGACTCCCAAGATCTAATTTGTTAGTACCTTCCCTTCTATGTTGTTCAGCTGTTCTCATTCATTTTCAGTAAAGGGGGGAAATTTCTTAAAAAAATTGCGATGCTAGATCGGTGGGGGACTGTAACAAGATAACTTGGTTTTGACATCTGAGTTGATAATGTAAATTGCCGAAGTGAAGAGTTTTGACGTTTCGAGCGGTAGTCCTTCGCTCCAACGGAAAGATCTTTCCAGCTTCCTGGCAGCGATTATTACCAGAACGATAACATCTATAATACTTATAGAGTCGTGTACTATCTAACGGGAGAAATATTTGTTGTGTTTTGGCACTCGCCAGCTAAATTGCAGTTGTCCTCACCGAGTTTATCAAAACTCCAGGATTTCATTGCTTCCCAGTTATCCATCATTCCTGTTAAAATGGCAGGCTTTCGAGGCTTCATATACTGCTCCACAAATGTCTCTTTTGATGGTCGATGGACGCGTTCGATTGCGCATTGTAATTGATCTGGGTCATGTCTAATCCGCTCAGACATGTATTTAAAGTAGAGCCGTTCTCGCTCCGTGCGCTTTTGTCGGCGCAGCTCATGCGGTAACCTGCGTTGGACAGCGGACCTCTCATTGTTCGTCGCGTTACCAGAAAAGGTAAGAGTTTCTTTCATTTGAGGAGTATGTATCGGGGAAAACGCGTCAAAATCAGTATCTTCGGCATGTCCAATCTCTAGTATATAGGAAAATATACCTTTTTAATATATAAAAACCAGTGAAATTCAAAGTGAGCTTTCGCACGAAAACATGATATCTTCACACGTGAAGCCAACATGTTATCTTCACACGTGAAAAGATCATCATTACGTTGTTCTACTTTAACAAAATATTACAGTGAAATAATTTAGAGTTTCGTTTGTGTATAAATGATAAATAGAATATTACATGGCCGCTTGGAGATACGAACTGTCTTCTCTCGTGTAAGTTATGTGAGTTTTATAAGTAATGTTAGAATTCTATATAATCGTAAGTAGTATAGGTAGTACTGTACTATGTAGAGTAAGTATTTTCAGTAGAGTATGTTTCTTTAAGTTGTACTGTGAGTATTGTAAGCAATACTAATACTGCTTAATGATGATAATAATAATAATAATAATAATAAAAAAGAAAACACGAAAAACAACACCAGAAGGGAAACTTCGTATCTCCAAGCGGCCGTGTGATATCCTCTGTAACTGTACGACCTCTCATAATTATTAAGGCTGTTTGTCATCGGCTTCCTTATCGTTAATGTTTCAGATGTCGGTTACTTTCTCACTGAGGAGGAACATACTACAACATCACTTAATTATTTCGTTGACTGTTCTCTTGAAAACATAGTCAACAGTAAAATTACAAGACAAAAATAACATTAGATATGTTGAAGCTTTTTGACAGACTACGGTGTAAGTTGAGGGTGAAGGTTTATGCTAAATTTCTAATTTTTAACTGACGAATCAATCTATTCTTATTGGTCGGAAAAGGCTGTTAGAAAAAAAATATATTTTAGAGTTTCCCATCATAAAATGACGTCTGCGAATTAATAACAATATCAGTAGAAAAATAAAAACTATATACAACAAGTGAGCTTATGTTGAGAACGTAAATTTCCGTTCTATTTTGTGTTTTCCGGAATTGATAATAAACTAATAAAATTTTCCTGTTATTTGACCACCAATTGCACCAGGTTATCTCAAAATTAGCTGGCCTTATCCTCCTCACAAAGATGACTATTTAGTTATAAACAGTCAAAGAAATGAAGCTTATGTTAAAATAATCTGCCACTGAAGAATTGTTTGCCGTAATGACAACAGTTACAAAATACAACCTACACTACAGCTGGGTAAACACGGTAACGGCTGCTGAAAACACTTTGTTATAAATCCACGTTAACGTTTCTTACCTTTAGTGGTCCTAATAAAGAATGAATTGCTCCTACCACAATTTTCAGGAGCGCTGTTCTCACAAATTTTGATCACATAATCGCCGTTTTGAATTGTTGGTGGAATAAGCCAAGCATGACGCATGCTTCCCTCTTTAAACTCGCTTAGTCCCGTTGAAATCTGTGCGACTTTTCTCTCTTCAATATCCAACAGTTCTATATTCCATTTGAAGCAGAATTTCGACTGAGTCCATGTGATAGGGTAAGAGTGTTGTCCCGATATCCACATGGCTCCTCTCACAGGCTCAATCACAGTTATATCATTCTTTGAATTTAGAGCGCCCTCACACAACCGAGACGGAACAACTAAATATATTACAAGCGCAAGATATGTTATTAGTTTTTCGATGAGCATTTTCGAGCCACAGTTCTTAGTTGGCTTCAGATGGCTCTAACCACGTAGGAGATAATTATGGCAATTACTAAGATGTGACAAATGATAGTAATGGTATCGAGTTTGCTGCATGTGACACGTGTTCCACTCTGAGAGACAACTAAGTATCCCATATTATATTTTAACACGTCAAATCAAGGATCAAAACAAATATAAATAATAATGTTACGCGTCTTGGAAGGAAATCATTCTTAAAATGTTTTGAAGGCATATGCTAAAGTCCTTTTTGTTGATAAAATGGCAATGTGCTCCTCTTCCATTTTGTTCCAGGTTAACATTCCTTATTTTATTTGTTAGGTTTTTTTCCCTTTGATATCAGACTAGCCATCATTCAACACGTTGTAATTTTAAGGCATCATGAGTAAAATATGTATATTATATCTGAAATAAATGTTTGCACAGGTGACAACAAAGTAAATATAGCCTTTGAGCAATGCAAATTTCTACAAACTAACCAAACTTTACTTTGAACCTAAAATGTTGATATAAAAGATGGAGAAGATAGCTTGTCATCAATTAAAGGTAATCGCTACCTTATGAGCCGTTGCATCGTGTATCAGGCCATACAACATTTTGTCGTGTGCTATGAAAATGATTCGTAAAGACGCTCACTGGGGGAGTACTTTGATTATAATTATTGCAACGCAAAGTATCAATTGACAAGGAAGTGATAAAAAAAAAAATTGGCACCCAATGGGTACAAGAGTCTACGGTGCTCTATGTTTTTACACTGGGTCTCAAATATCTTATTAAAAGGCTCTAATATCCTCTTAGAAGGCTCATTTCCCTAATAGTGGACTTTCTTAGGCGTCGCTTTTAATTAAAAAGGTCCTCTAAATACAAGGCAAACCCATAGAGGGTTCATTTTGCAGAGTTAAAGGCGATGCAGCTGGAAGCATCGAGGGTGATGTGACTCATGATACCAGTGATGCGGCCTTGACATGTCACCAGTTTGTCGAAAACTGCTACTTAAAACCGGAAAAAAACACCAGAACTAAGCTTAGCCATCTAAGTAAATAGGAAGATGAATGTTGTGATAAAGGTAACGATTGTGCAGCTAAAATCAAAACTACCACTTCCTTAATGAAATTGAGCTCGACCCTTAGAAAAGAACTCACAAACAAATGATGCGAACTGTGGGCCACTGAACTCTGAAAATGAATTATGAAGGGGTGAAATATGGAGGCCACTGAATTAACTTCTTATTTTGAAACTTTTGGTCCGCACCCAGAAAGCACATTATCAGTCGCAATTTCATTTTTCTTAGTTGGCGCAATGGATTGTGCTTCTGATGTAGTCTTCAAAAGAACATGTTTTTTCTCTTTTAACTCGGAACATCAGCTTTTTCTGAGCAACAGTCAGATTCCATCATTGATATTCCATCATTGATATTTTGTTAAAATGTAACGAAATGTAAGACGGGTTGTTGTCCTGGAAAGAACTATATGTATCCAAGCACCTTATATTTTTTTAAACCTTGGGTTAGCCCTAGCTTATGCATGCAGTCTTAATACAAATCAATTTCCGTCCATAAGTGAAATTTTCTGGTCTGAGATCTTAGCTTTCGGTTAAATACATGCTGTTGCTCAGCAGAATGTTAAAAATTTTGACCAATTCTTCGCTATCAGTGAAGGCCCATGCAGGAATTTGAAGTGATAATGCAAAAGCCTTATACGCTAACGGACTTACCCAAAAGTTAAACAGGGCCGTAGCTAGCATGAGGCAAGACGAGGGGGGGCATGCCCTAATACCCCTATACCCTCCTAGCGGCTCGCGCCTCCGACGCTTGAAACTTGCCTCGTCTTCTTCTGAAGTCTGGCTACGGCCCTGGTTAAAAAGAGGAAAGAAGAAGTAAAAAGAAGGAGTGATTGAGCGAAGGATGTAAGGAGTGAATTTTGAGTACTAACAACAACTCAGAAGTTTTCTTTCAGCCATTTTCCCAAACGAGCTACTGTAACCACGTTTGCCTAAGTAAGGCCACTATGAATGATAGGATTGTTCACAGACGGACTCACAGGCGCGATAACAAGGAATCTACGTCTTAGGCGCCGTAGACTCAAAAAGGAATTTTCGAAAGAACAGTGAAATTGAAATCAACCGAGTATCATGAGACTCCATCTAAAGGCCAGATCGGTAACTACCTTAAACGCTAAATATGATACTGCATGCTTTGTATGACTTGAAACACATTATCTATATTCGTTGGAAATTAAAATGTTCCTTTCAGAATGAAAAGTTTTAAATTCTGACAGGATGCAGGAGTTTGTGTAAAAAAGCGAACACGTGCGCTAGAACTAGTGAATACATTGTAACTGCATGTTTGATATATTATGCATCATCAAAATACAAAGTTTCTTCTATGTCATCTCGACCTTTTTTCATGGGCATCAAATTGAAGTGTCATCTTCTTCACTTTTCCAATATTCTTCGTATATTTTGAGCAATGAACAGCTACTGCATTTATTTCGCACACAAAAGCCAAAATGATGGTCCACTATCAAATTTAACTCGCGAACTCTCCCGCGTTACCATGGCACAGATTAAAATGTAGCCAACTTGAGATAGTTTCAGTCGCTGTTGACCTCTCTTGAAATCTAAGATAAAAGTTCGTGCGTTTTTGATTTCGCACTCGAAAGTAATACCTTCACTGTTGCGTCTACGATTTGGGCTAAGGGGCACACAACACAACAATTTGATTGGACATTTAACTGAAATTTTTTAATGAAATTTTACGGAGTAGGTGCCAAGATTGAGTTAGAAGATATATCATTCCGGCCAATAGACATCTAGATTTCTTAAGTAAGACTTCTGTATGTGTTTGGGATGGAGACTTAAAAAGTTTGGTAGGATGTGAGATGCGGTCTTCCATGAAAGTGTTCATAACGATTTCTGTAGGAAAGAAGTCTCTCCTCTTAAGTTGCATTATGTTCGTTCTCATGATATTAGCGGGCTACTCGACAAGGGAGCGGCGTTTCGTTTTCTTTCATGCTGACAATTTTATGAAACTCTCTAGAACTTTATACACAGAAGGGTTACCTGCTGAGTATAAATGTTGCAACTAAAGACCTGTTTTGACCCACATGTCGGCTTGGGTCAGGCCTTTTACGATGTTCATACGATAAACCGAATTAACTTCGTTATTTTACGTGCAACCATAAAATTGTTAAATTAGTTTGTTTTCTAAGTTTCAATTGAAGCATGAACGAAACCTACCGAGTGCATCATCTTAATTATGGTTATTTCCCAAACAGCACGCAATAGATTCATTAACTTTTTTTAATGAAAGTAAGCCGACTCAAGAGTCAGTGGGACACTAATTCTAAGCTGACTCGAACGGTTGTCGAAAACGTTAGTTTGTCACATGTAGAACTAACAACATTTCTTTAAAAAAGTCAATATTTCCAATGATTCTTGTATATGTATGCAATGCTCTCATCGAAAATTTCCCAACGAATTAATCCACTTCTTTGTTTTATTGTCACTTATTAGCGACAGAAAGAGCTTAGAGAGCATCAGCTAAAACAAAACTAACGATCAGGCCTGGCCATCGAAAATTTTAGCTAGTTTTATTCGAATATAGGAGGTTCCTGATTTTGGTTGTGGGCTGTCAGAAAACTATTTCCTCTTTACGGTATATCGATTCTAACATAATCCAGATTATTATTATTTTGAACGTCATTCAGCCGTTATCTTTGTTTTAACCACAAGAATGAAGAATGAAGGATTGAGAATAAACTCTGTCCTTATTCACCACAAACAATGCTATTCTGAGCAGAGGTCAATTTCTCTACATGAGACTCCAAAAATATCAACCACTCTTATTGCTGATAAATATAGCCTATGTAAATTGATTTTTATATTGCTCTGATAAAAATATCAAATAGACGCAGCAATTCTGGACTAGAAAGTCAGTTCTGCTTATACATCGTCTTCATTTTACTGAAATTGTGTAACAAAAGTATGAATTTGATCAAGGCCTTCTCTTTTAAGAAGGTTCGAGGTGTCTTCGTAAACTTCAAATGATCCGTGCAAACCTGACCTTGGAAAACCCATCATTAAAACCAAACTTTAAGCCATCATGGTCTTAGGACGCGTATTGCTTTTTAAAAAAAAATTGTACCGATTAACAGAAGGATTGCAAAGGTACCCAAAAACTCAGAAAGGGGGCCGTGCTGTCTCAATTTATCCACATCTTTAGACACTCTTGATCACAAGGTTAGCACTTGATGGCGTGATGATCGCCGATATAGATTCATAAAGACTCAATGAGGTGTAAACAATTTCTCTGCATGTTTACACCAAAGTCCCTCTTCCTTGAGGCAATTCGTCCGTGAGCTATCGATTGCACTAGTAAACAACGAAAGCAGCCCCACAAATAGAGGACAAGTTACACTACGAATATCAAGAGCAGTTACCATGAACTTCATGCTAGAAGAACTGATATCAGTTGGTCAGGTCGTGTTCCTCTGCCTTCTGCAGTTTGGTGCGTTTCTTGTTGGAAAAGCAATATGGCAAAAGAATGCTTCAAATTTGCCTCCGGGACCTTGGGGTATTCCAATAATAGGTGAGACTTTTCAAACCCATTTCCGTGCTTTTAGTTCGTCTAGATATTTCTAAACGTGCGTACACCCATCTATGCAGTTTTAGGAGTTCGGTAGGTAAGGCCAGTTCCTGTTTGACCAAAAAGAAAAAAAAATTATCAAACTGACCAGAGGTGTTCAAATGTCTCGTGATGACAGGATTATTTGTTAAGGACTTCACTTTTTCCTATCACTCCCAGAGAGGAAGGTAACATCTACGATATTAATATAAAGTTTATCCGACAAAACTGTGATGGGGGTAAAAATGAACTTCCTACTCTCATCATAATCGATGAGGCTCATTTACTAGAAGATATTGACTTGATATAGCCACCCAGAGTTCTCTCCACTGGCTAATTTAAAAGGAGATGTATGGCAGCCAATAGGAAGAGTTATGGATGAGATTTTTTAGAGTGTTCTTTCTTAAGCAGGTGCGAAATCAATTAGCAGCGAGACTAAACCCTTGTTGTATGGGCTTATTCTAAAGTAACATAATTACCGGTCTAGAACGTTCTCCTATTTTATTAGATGTAATATTGTACATTTCATTTGTCTTTATTAGATCGGGAATATAATCAATACGATTAAGCAGTTTTTGAGGTATCTACGAAGCCTTCTCGGCAGTCTTCGCGTGCGATCGAAGTGAACGTTGCGTATTTTTAGCCGCTTATTAATAGCTTATATAAATGGATGTTGATGAAGCATCGTAATATAAAAACCATTATTTTCCATAACTTTAAAATACCTTTGTATTCAAAATCATTTTTGTGCGTTACTTTTTCATTTCTGCAGGTTTACTGACAGTGAAATGTGTTGATTATTTGCTAAGGAGGTGTACGTGACGTGAAATTCGATTAAGTTAGCATCTGACTTTCCTAATGACTTTCGTACTGAAAATGACTTGTAGCCACTTGATGATATATACTGATCAGTTAAGCGGGAAAAATAATGAAGTTGGAGAAGTTATTTGGTTATTTATCTTGGCGTGCTTTAGTTACACCTTTTGATGTTTAAAATACTGACTGCACCATGTTCTGTAGACATTGTTTACACGATATCTATCAATTGGTGACCTTCTGTAACTCTGGAAACACGGCATATGCCTTTAACAAGGAGATAAATTTTAACGCGTAGCTAAGAAGCGAACTCAGTTGAACTATCAAAACCCATATTCTTTTGATGAGCGTTTGCTAAATATAAAACGTCAAAGGAAAATGCAAGGGCTTCGCCATAACTCGGTTGAAAACCAGATACCGCCTAAATGAGGATCAATCAACCGTTTTCAACGTCTGCTCCTGCTAAAAACATAAACCACGCGCAAACCGCAAGTCGGTGACCTTCTCCTTGGTAAACAGCAAATCAAAACCTTATCATAAATGAAACGTCAAATAAGTCTCGTAATGTTTGCACAATCCAATATCGTGTTAAACGATCATATATACAATCAGCTAAGTAGTCAGTAGCTGATCAACGTCACCAGGGATGGCATTTCAGTTCCAACCTGCTTAAACTTCTTAATAATGTTTGGAGACCACTACTGTTAAGCTTTTCGTCTGACCCTGATTGTGTCCAAAAATTATTTTGGCTACTAATTTCAGGATCGAAGCACGTGCTTTGACCAAAATAAAACAAAATAGCAGCCCAAAATACAGTGACCTTGCTTTGTTTCAGTGCGATTCATATCCCATGACTATCATGGATTTCATATCGCAGTAAAGCCGACAACATGGGCAGATGTTTCATACCACTGAGCTAACATAAAGGCGAGAAGACTGTGCAGCATGTATGTATAAACTTAAATAAGCAGTAAATTGTCAGTCCGAGTGTTGGCAACTTTCTTCAGGGAAGGTAGATATCGAGGTTAGTGACCAGTTTAGAGATGTATTTCACCTAATCATATCCTTGATTGGTGAAAAGAGTAAATAACATCATATGACATTGAAATACTCTAGAAATCTGACACAGCCGAAATCTATACCCTGAATTTATTTGAGCTTGGCTGAAAATCTTTTGTCAGGGATCGTTTGCCACGTTCAAACCCAGCAGATCTTTTCTAGCTCGTTTGCCGAATTGTAAATACATATCAAGCTGTTTCCTATCCCAACGAGCAAGCTGCAAGCTACTAGATTTCTCCTGGGAAGTAATTCACGTCTTTATTTCGCCAAAGTCACACTAAAATAAGAAGACATGCGTGGCCTCATGCTTGGATATCGTTTACTAATTGTGTCATATGAACTCGATGCTATTCTGGGAGCCCGTATCAAAGACTCTACGGCTTTTACCGAATGGCCATGATCCTCACGCAGCCTTATGCTAACTGCTGTGTCTTCAGCAATTTGGAATTCTTAAAACAATCGTAAGCTGGATAAGCGTCGCGTGATGCTGAACCACTAGTTCCTGTCTGCCTCGTGTCTAGAAGTACAAGAGGCTTCACCATGATCTTGCAATTCGTGAAAGAAATATCAGCTTTGCATTTTTGAAAAACGTGGCTGGAGTCACAATTACACTTGGCTCAGAGAACGAAGCTCAAGCTGCAGAAGAAAAACTTGTTAACACTCTGTGGGTCTCAAATTTGCCACGAACAACATTATTGTTGATGTCTTATTGGACTTTATCTTTCAAAAGGGCGTTAAAAAGGTTTTTAACATACTGTTTACTCGAGTTACATCTCTGTACAAGAAATGAGGAGTGGTAGCAGTACAGATTTCCTGATTTCGTCAAAGCATCGCCCAAGCAGAATCCTTTCCGGTCTCGAAATTGCATCGAAGGTGTCGATAGAAACCGTTCGAAGGGTGTCTGGGAAGAACAAATATACCTATATTACGCCAACGTAGTCAGGAAGGAAACGATGTAGGAGAAAGAGAAAAGTTTATATAAACAGTGTGAACTTTCCTTAAATTGACCCTCGCTCAGCGACAAGTTAATCGCATTTGAGCCTTGCTAGTGTCTTCGGGGTAGCTTCGACACTACCACCGTAGCCATTTACCGGAGTGATGTGACATATTTATTCAAATATACTGAAAATAAATACCAACAGTATGCAATAAGACAATAAATTGATCACCTAGTACAGTATGAAGAGCGTTCGATAAGAAAATTTCATTGAAATTTTGTCGCTCAAGTTCAGGTCATAACAGTAAACGAAACCCTTCGGAATGGGTCAATATTCTTTAGCAACCACAAGAAGCAATAAAATAAGCGGTTTACCTTTGTGGTCAATCGAAGGTTCTTTATCCAAAAGCACTATTTAATCGCCAAGCAACGTGGATGATGTTCTGACATTCCCAAACCATGGCCAAGCTCTTCAGCAATGCAACCGATTTGAGGTAGACAGTGAAATCTGGTTTATAATACAGATACTTTTCCCGTATAGTGAAATATTCGGTCTACGAGACAAACCCAAGTAATTCATTAAGTACGCAAATGGAATGGTCACGACATCTTTCGGCGACAAAATCAGTACTACTTTTTCTCGAAGTTGCTTAACAATGTCATGGCCCTCCAATACTAAGATCAAGAATTTTTAAAGACTTTGATCAGCAAAAAAAGACTGAATACTTCTCGTTTAAGATAAAGGCATTTAAAATCTATTTTTGAAGCACATTCCCACATGTAAGTTGATAAGGGTAGCGATTCTTATCTCTCAACAGTTAGATGGCTTAAGTAGCCTACATCTCAACCAAATTGACATTACATGCCTGATGTAGATTTCCTTTTTCAAGGGATACAATGGCCGTTTTTGATAAAAGCAGGTTTTTCTTGAGAGTTTTGTCCTTGAGAAAATATCAGACTTCTTAAAAATAGGGCTATAAAGCTTGCTAATCACCACGTAAGTTTCTCAAGTCAGTCAGTCACTGATAAAGGGCTGTCTGCTGTCTAGTCTCTTCAAGCTTGTGAATTACTACCAGGATTACAATAGCATGTGTTTTCACGAAGTCAAATGTAAAACGTAAATGCCGTCTGATATTATTTTACAATAAAAATGGCTAAGACTGTTAACATATTGTTCAAGAAATCAGCGACCACTCGTCTTGTTTCCATATCGCAATGATCATTTTGTCTAAAAATAGCTTCAAGAATCTGAACCGTTCGTGTGAACAAAGCAAGACAAAACAAAGCATAAGAAAACCCCTCACGAAGCCTAATAAATCTCTGTCTTTTCTTAGCCTGCATTCTTTTCTATAGAATCCTTTGCTATCTTATTCTTTGTGACGCGACCGAGCCAGGGGTAATTTGATTAAAATCTCTGCCTACGGTGGGAATCAGAAAATAGCAGGCGGCATTGTTAACACTCTTATCTGTAAATAGACTTATAGCGTGAAAATAAGCGACGGCACACGACAGCGAAAAGGGCGGCATTCAACCTTTGACATTTCCTAAATATAACCTCAAAGATTGATAACTCAATTCTCTTTAATGCCTTAACTCCGCTTCACAAACTTGATACTTGTTGGGCTTTTATTTTTCAAAAGCGAAGCGAAAATACACTGCCTTGAGTGACCCAAAGTCAAAAGGCACTTTAACATTGATCTCGCATTAAAAAATCTTTATTTGACCGGTAAAAAATACATAACTCTGCAGAAAGCACCGCTGATCAATTCGATGAAAATTCACCTTTATCAACACAAAGATTATGGCGTGATAATCGCCGACTGCTCGATAAGGGCTCACTGGAGTGTAACACTTAGTTCGCATAATTATGCCCAATCACTACCTCTTGAGATCATTTGAACCTTGATAGCAACAGAAGCAACAGCTTACCGATCAGAAGAATACCTCTTTACCTCAGTTTCCGATGACCACGATGAGTGTTTCATTTGTAGACAGCCTATCAGCTGCACCGATTTTGCTCTTTTGCTTTCTGGCTTGTTTCCTCCTGAAAAGAAAGTCATTTCGGGAAAATTCTTTTTCCAAGTTGCCTCCAGGACCTTGGGGCTTACCAGTGATAGGTAAGGTTATTTACCTTTTGAAATCATTTCAATGTCTATGGACCGGCTTTTGTCGCAAACTTTTCGTCACCTCATGAGGCGCTCACAACGATTCCAGCTCAAAAGTCACAAAAGTTGCTCCTTTCTTTACTTTTGTTGAGAAATAAATAAATCAAAAACTATCTGCTCTCGCAAGTGCTGTATAAATTCTTAAAAACATGGATGAGATCAGAGTAACAAAATGGCATTGATTGATTTCAGCATTGCTTTTAATCAATTTCAGTTAAAGGACTTATTTGAAGTTTTGCAGTAGGGCTTAGTAATGTCGGTATAAGAGAGAGAACATATTGAGTTATATCAATTATTAAAGGTTAAGGAGGAAAAAGTGGTGAAAGTGGAAAAAAGGGTGTAGGCATTCGAAGTAAATAATTAATTTGCTTCACAGAAAAACCAGTTTATTAGAGTTAACTCTTTGAGAGAAACACTTCTTGTTCTCCAAATTAACGATAACTGCGTAACGATTCAGTAATTATTGGAATTATACACTGTACCCACGCCTTGCATGATAGTAGCGCACGAACAATGCAAGTATTGCGTGTTCTCAGCCGATCGCCGTGACGTGGCTTTGTTCTTGCTCCAGCTAAAGTCATGACCACAAGAAATAATGTATCTGGATGCCTCGGCTAAAATCGTCATGAGTCAATGTATCTTTAAAGCGGTTTCTCTAAACTTCCTTGTATTTAAACGATCCATTGTGAAAATGTGTTGAATGGGCAAAATTAAACCTCAGCGTTCTCTACCTTTGTAATGCTGATTGGGGCAGTTGGAAGAGCGAAGAAATCGTGTCATGCGGTAAAGGATATCTAATTCATGATCAAAAACGCCGTTTTGGGGCAGGTGATAGGACTGGATTTGACCCAGAGAAAGATAATATACTTATTTGATATTAACCTTCGGAGTTTTGCTTTGAGCTTTAGCTTGTTACGTTTCTAGGTAGCTTGTGATGAACGGATGGCGCTTTGAAATCAGTCGAAATAAAATAATCTTATCTCATTTTAATAATGATAAAAAAGAATAAAGTTTCTGATCATCTTTCACAGTAGGTGCCAGTGTTTGAGAAAAAAAAAAGTGTTCGATTTTTTTGTACCAGTGAGCTCAGTTCTGTTCTTCACTTGTGTAGGTACTCAGACCTAGAAACATGGAAAGTTTGAGAACTGTTGTATAACCCAAACGAAATAAGCGGCTCAAAATGCAAAGAATTAAAATTGATGAATGCGTTAAGACCACTTTTTTTTTTTTTAAAACTGTACAAACTATTCAAACCATTGCTAATGACAATATATAAAAAGTGCGTGGTATAACTGAAGGCGTTTAATTTTGCTGCAAGATTTCGGTGCATACAATTTGGTCCACCACCCTCACCAAGAGAACAATGTTAGGTCTGACCAAGTTTTGATTCAGCCGAATATAAAAGACGCCGCGTTTAAGCCACAAAATGTTTAATACGATCCATTGACCTTCGTTTTAAATGAATCAAAACCTTTAAAACAAGTATCAATTGTCTAGGAAGCTATTTAGTATGCATATGCCATGATCATGGCCTAATGTAGGGGACTTCGTTGCGTGTCTTGAGCCTCAGCTAAGGATGACTCAGCGAGGGAATTTTTTCTTTAGACCATTTCCTTTTTTTATTAATTATCGGAAAATTCCTTGTATTCGGTATTGATGTCAGGGAAGTATATCATGTACATGCCTGTTTTTGAAGGCTTTGTTAAGTACGTAAGGCGAGTTAAGATGAGGGAGTAGATATCGTTTTCAATCACAAAGCACCTTTCGGACGTCTAAAACATTCTGAAATATCATGGACTGGCTAGATTGACAGGGTGTACCCTGCTTAGCGAAGATATCCACAGGGCTTAATCGACAGACGAAATTAAACTCTGTATGCTCTCCATTCCTCTTTTTTCACTGAATTAAGTTAAAAGACAGTACTTAAAAGAAAGATATTAGGTGCATCTAATGTTTGGAACGTCAGCTTGCATTTAAATGCCCCATAGCCACACAGCGACAATGTCGGAACTTGAGGCTTGCACGGGGGGGTTTTCGACGGAACGAATTATGAAGATCCAGTAAATACTTCCCTGTTCAGTCGTTGCAAATAAGAGAAAAACGGTGCAAAGGTTAACGAGAGGAGCAGCTATTTTTGGCATTTTTTTAAAAGATCCCTGCAAGGATCAATGAAATTAACAACCGCAAAATTTCATTTCCATTTCGCACAGAAACGCTAGCCGACGTACGAAGCTGATAACCTTTTTGGGTCTCCTGTCTTACGCCCGTTCTCGATACAGTAAGTTATGCCTGACGGAATACATCCTGCAAAATGCGTGACTCTTGCCAAGGATACATTTGCCTCGCTCGCTAAAAACCCCCGAGGGCTAAATTATACATTTAACGAAACATAAAGAAGTCAGTTGACCCGTTTCAAACGATTACAGATTTTTAATTTAATATTATCAAGTCGTCACGTGCGCAGCTTCGCACTTCATGTAAAACTATTTTATTCGTTAGAAAAGTCGGCTTAAGCATATCTCTTAATACATAAGGTATCTCAGGGTCCTTCGGAAGTGTTCAGCACTGAAGAAAGACATCTGGATGGCACATTTTCAGTTCAGTGTCAGGTTTAGTCTTTCTTATACGCGAAACACGTGACGGAATGTTTAAGGATAAGACGTAATGCTATATGGTGTGTAGTTTCAGAAATGTTCTAGAACGATAAACGCTTATGCAGGTCATAACTATTTGTTGACAACCTCGGAAACTTTGTGTGCAAGATCGCAGATGTTAGCCGTGAAATTTTCGATGCCACAATGAGAAACAAGATGAAAGTCATGAATGCGTTTTAGTCTCAAGAGAAACATCGTAGTACCAATGAAGTCAATTTTCAATATATACATGATATTGCTGACTGGTTGTACTCTTTTCGACAAGTTGTATTTATCCAAATTTCGTCGAGGAAGCAATAGTAATGATATTAGGGAAAGATATGGACTTGGAGCTAAAGATAATTAACCTGCTTTGGACACTTTTTTGCTCAATGCCACCTGTGATTAAGGAAAAATAATTCCTCTAGTTAATGATTTTTTGGTTAAAATCCTACTCGCTCATGATCTCTAAGTGCCTTTGACCTATCAACAGGTGCGTGCTTTCGTGTGGGACGCAATCCTCATGTTGACTTCACAAGAATGGCAGATAAATACGGAGACGTTTTCAGCCTAATGCTCGGAAATCGTTTAGTTGTGGTGCTCAACGGATTAAACGTCATTCAAGAGACAATTATCAAGCACCCGACAGTTTTTGCTGGCAGACCGCAACTGCACACCTTCAACCTTGCCAATCCTCATGGTAACAGTCTCACTGTGGGCGACTACACACCTAATTGGCGGCTCAGTCGGAAGATGATGGTTGCAGCAGTTCACAACTTTGCAAAGAATACAAGTACCTTGGAAAAAAAGCTTTTAAAGGAATCTGAACGCCTGGTCTGCTGCTTAAAGCAACAGAAAGACAAAGCCTTTGATGTCCGTATCACTCTCAAGTTTGCCATAGCTAACATCATTTTCAATGCGCTGTTTGGAATCAACCGTTCATACGACGACCCAGACCTTCGACGTTTACTCGAGCTTGCCGACAACTACCGAGAGGCTGTGCATGGCAGCAGCCACATTGATTTCATGCCGTTTTTGAAGCATCTTCCTAATAGAGCACTCAAAAAGCTCGTGCTTGCAATAAAAGAAGTCTCATCTGCCACTAAGAAGATGTTTTTAAAAAACAAAGAAACCTACACTAACGGCCGAGTTCGCAATATTGCTGATGGTTTTATAGATGTCCTTGAGAAAGAAACGATGAAAGAGAAAGAGAATGGTCAGAACAATGAAGACACTCAAGTTGAAATGGCTCCCCTGCTGAATGATGAACAGATTGTTCACGTTTTGTCAGAGCTCTTCGGTGCAAGCTTGGACACCTCATCCATCACCATTTACTGGGGCTTAGCATACTTAATCAAGCATCCCGAGATCCAATCTCAGTTGCAAGATGAGTTAGACAATGCAATTGGACGAGATCGCCTTCCAACCCTTACAGACATCCCGTCCCTTCCTCTGCTCCAAGCCACAGTCTACGAGCTTCTGAGGGTGACAAGTGTTGCGCCTCTGGCGATTCCCCATTCAACCACCACTGAAACAACCATTCGCGACTTCACAATCCCAAAAGACACAATGGTTTTCGTTAACCTGTGGTCTCTACATCGCGATCCAGCAATCTGGGAAGACCCGGAAGTTTTCAACCCACGACGTTTCCTCAATGATGCTGGAGAGCTGATCGATCCGAAGACATTTGGAGGCTTCTTGCCCTTTTCAGGGGGTCGTCGAAGGTGTCCTGGAGAAAGCCTTGCTCTGAAAACCTTGCCTGTATTACTTGCATCATTAATACACAGCTTCCGTTTCTCGCAAGACGGTTTGCCTGCTGAATATCAAGGTATTAATGTTGAAGGGCATTTCGGCCTCACCCTGATGCCAGAGAAATTTTATACATTAATCGAGGAGCGCAACTGAAGAGCCTCAGTGAACTGAGACACAATGACAATACTTTCTAAGTTTTAATCCTTAGAAGTCTTTGAAAGAATCTTGAGTAACTTATTTACATTCAAGTATAGACATACCAAACTTTTTTATTGTTTTTATCCTACATGGATTTATATGGTTTTGATGAAATGATTATGGAAAATTACCGTAATACTGCTATGAAGTTGTTTTATATTCTCGCTGAGATGAATACTCGGATTAACGTGTCAATATGTGGTTATTGTGCCTTGCCTGTTAAGGTTATATTACTATTATTATACCAAACAATTCTCAGTCCTTTATTTTGAGCTAATTTTTTTTATGGGAATTCGATGTAACAGTCGAATTTTGTTATTTGATGGGTAGCCCTGTTTCTTATAGATCAATTTGTCAGCCAAAGAAAATATGTAGCACATCTTGCCAGAGTGGGAAAAGAGAAGGATAAAACCCTCTCGAGGATTCGAACCTTGCATGTTCTGATGTTTTGGTCTGATGCCATATTTTAATATGGCTTTTCATATCTAAAAATAAGGTTTGTATATTAAAATATACAAACCTTTGTTTTAGATGTGAAAAGCGTCCGGTACATTGTTCATAGGATCAGTAAACCCAAAAGCGTCAGGTGTAGAAGAAGATTCATCTATTGCCAGTTTGGCTCGGCTCACGACATTCTTCTCATTCGTTGGTTGAGGGTTTTTCAATCATATAGCCATGCTTAAAAAAAGCCTGCATTTGGCATGCTTCTCTTTTTCTATTCATTAAATCGAGGAGCTGTTTATTTCTTTTGCTACAGCAAAAGGCGCGGCATAAAAATATTGCTGCTGAGAAAGTGATAGAGAAAGACTTCCCTGGCGTTTTAAATTTCCATGGTCACCACGTCCTGCGATTCTGCAGTGAGCCAGTAACATATAATATGACAGATTATGAATAGAAAGGGACTGTATATGACAGATTATGAATAGAAAGAGATTGTAATCTTTGGGCTTACAGGAGATAGATATTAAAGTAAACTTATTTTCGAGCCTACGAGAAATAAAAAAAAATATTAACATTTTACCAACTAAGTTCTGTTCTGGCTGCTTTATGTTTAGTATTTCTTTATGTATTTATTTCACTTCTTTAGAGGTTGTCCACTCCAGTGGGATTACTTATTTCCCTTGTTGAGGTAATTTAGTCAATGAAAAACCGCAGACAGCCTTAATGAATTATCGCGGATAGGATGTCGTGATGAACGCCCGTAAAAAAAAGTAAGGACCGGCTTGAGTGAAGTGTGAATATAGGCTTCATATTTATACTTTATTCAAGCTCCTTCTCGAAACATTTGACTACGAACCCTGAGCTCGTACGTTCTTGGCAAAAAAGAAAAAATTTATAATCCTATTCATTTATGATGGTATTCTTGATTGGAGGTCTTTCAAAACCCGGGGAAATTTTACTCCTTTGCCTTTTGATGCAAAAGCTGATGACTGGAATTTGGCCCCTTTCTTTGTCTCAATTGCTTCGAAATCCACTCATGACTGGGAGACAAAAAGGTAAGATTTGAAAGGCTTGAAAGAGCTTGGCACCAATTTATATCTTATTAGCTATTTAGCTACGGAAGTCGTATTACGTTTCATCTCTTAAATACATAAAATTGTAGATTCGACACCGAACTTTCATTACCATTTATCAAGCCAACTTTTATCACAGAAGAGACAAGATTATCACTTCACGCACTTGATGTACAGATGTCAGTTTAAAGGATGTCACAAAAGTCTATTACTTTTGCTATTAAAGCACTGATCTTAAATTAGCTGCACACTTTCAAAACACACTTATGTCCACCCATGCACGCAGTGACGAAAATGGCAGATTTGACGAAATTTCGTCAAACTGAGTGAATGTTTAGTCAAACTGGGCAAAGCGATTTTTACGAATTTATTCAAATTCGTCAAAGCGAAATCAGCTTGGCGGATTCGCCGATTTTGACGAATTTTCGTCACTCTCGTTACTGCATACATTTCTGGACCAAACCAAGTCGTTCACGAAGTCACTTTTTTATGAAAAAAAATCAACTAAAATCGACATTATAACTACAGTCCGATTTAAAAAAGAAAAAGGAAGACCTCAATTGGTATCATTGCATGACGAGAGCGTAAAAGCACGATGAAGGCATGTATGCCCTCAGCTGACTAAAGGCGTTTATGTGACGACAGTTCCAATTGTGTTGCAGTGCTTTTTTATTAGTTAATGGCGTCGGATATACTTAGCAAACAGTAAAATTCAAAAGGAAGGGTCCACCTCGTAATTTTGCAAATTTAAGTCAACAATGTCTTCAAAATGCAGCGTAGGAAGGACTGGGCCATTACTAAATTGATATAGATACATAAATACTGAAGAAAACAGTACAGCTTTGGGCTGAAGTTCACAAACCATCAAACTTGAGTACATTGCATGATGTGTGATATTTACCATGTGTACAAAACGTAGACTCGTCGATCAATTTATAACGAACACAAATAACCCTTGAAGTTACACAGTGAAATTTTGTACTAATTCTATCAAAGCACATCGCACTTGATTAGCTTGATAAATTTGTCTGCGTTCCATCGGTTGTTAGGAAGCACAAAATAAACACTCATGATGAACGAAGCTGGTGACGTTTTCTACAAGACTAGCTAAAATGTTTTATTGTTTTACAAGATATTAGCCAGTTTTGGAATGTCTAATCAGGCATAATATATAAGCTAATATACGTACTGTAATGACGAAAGCGTAACCAGCTGTTTTTCCTATTGCGTGTCGGATTCCTTCTAAAGATTCAGTCAGCAGCAGCAGCAAATCTTGCTTTCTGAAAATATAATTATTATAATGGCAGAAAAGTCAGGAGGGCTTGAGAGGAATTATTCTTGAACGTTCCACAGACTTAATTACGGCTGCATGAAAAATTTAAGAAGAATTACGTTTCGCACGTTTCTCCCTCACTCCAGTTTTAAAGGTAAAATTTAGCTTTTTGTCTCGGCAATGTTTTCAGGAACGTGAAGCCAGGCAATTAATCGGAAATCCAACCAAAACTCACCTGACTTACGATTCTTGATCTTACAGCAAATTAACATCGCGGCATAACTAGTGGATTAGTTTCCACGAACCAGACTAATGACACTCGAGTGACAGACAACTTGACTCCGATGCCACTTCCTTTCAGATTTCCGAATTGTCGGTCACTATAACCAACACAGTGACGGATCCAGACCTTGAGCTAAGGGGGGGCCCGGTTTTTCGTCGCTTGCCCTGCCGGCCTTTCTTCCTTCTGCTATTCTTTTTACCCAAAATAAGGGGGGGGGGGGGGCGCCCCTAGATCCGCCACTGCAACAACAGTCTTTTTCATCACGTTTTTGAGTACTCATTCTTACTCAAAAGATCAGAGCACACGATTAATTGCTAAATCTAGTTTCAAACCAACTACAATTATCACCACCGTATCTCCTTCCTGTTTCAACAGGGTTTGTAATGTACCAGATAGAGCACCCCCATGGCCTCACCAAGAGGGCGAAGGAACACGGCGATGTTTTAAACCTGAACCTCAACGATGGTTTAGCGATTGAATTAGCTTCATTTTACACCGTTCGAGAAGGAATAGTTGTCGTCCATCGAGTCTGGATTCGAGGACAGTATCAAGGTGGCCTTCCAGGACGCTTTGGACTATATATTCTGAGAGTCCGATTTCGACTCCGATCGAAACAGAAGCAGTAACTGAACGACGGAAATATTTCAGTCATTAACTTCTCGATTTGGCAAATTTTTCAGAGTTCGTGTATGCTGGTGACAATCGCAATAGATTTATCAATGACTTGTGCAGATTAACACGCGCGTACATACGCCTTTTTATTATTTTTCCTTACTTCATTTTGGTAATCAACCTTTTCTGGTCTTGTTTAAGAAGACCCTAGTCTATAACAAGGCAAAAGGAAGAGTAAAACTTTGCCCGCTTCACACTTTTAAGCCAATCAGAATTTACCTTTCATACTCTAGACAGACTATCACGTGATAGAAAATCAGCTTGGTAAAGCATCGCGAAGTATGAGTTATTAAAAGTCTCTTACCTGCCTCTGAGGATGAGAAACGCCTTTCTCAGCTTCATTAAGCTTTATATAGTTGGGAATCACTGAGTTCAAATAACGTTGGTATCCTTGATATTACTAGACAGTGATTAGCTTGAGTAATCAATTGGAAATAAATATTAACATTGGACGGTTGTAATGAGGAATGCATGAGGTTCTCAATGGGTGATGGCTTTTGAGGTTAACGGTTAAAATTATGACCATATTACTGCTAACGGCTAACTTCCTTCCTTTGTGGTTAGAAGAAAAAGTTTCACGGTTGAACTTTTTTCTTTTTTTACGCCTAACGGAGAAATTTTTTGGCAATTTTATGGCTAATGGTTAACACCATCGAGACCGTCATACATGGGAATAACTGCTAAGCATAAAAAAAAATCACGATGTCACTTTTTGCAAATTTAATATTCTGCAAAGGAACAAGGCAAGTCGTTCCATTTTCCATTCTGACGCATTACAATACAACCTTTATGAATTCCTTCGTTAGTTTCACCAGAATTCAACAATGCAAACCCACCCCACTCCACTCGTTTTCCCAGACCCAGAAACCCTCGACCGCCCAATCGTTACCTCCCAACCAGGACCACTCGTCATTAGAGAAAAATAAGAAAAATAAGAGAAATGTCCATAATGCTTATGAATGCATGAAAATGTCATCCACAATTGAAAATAATGTGTGTGTGAGCATATAGAATAAAAGTGAATTCTCGTTCTTATTATAGGGCTCTTATTAACTCCAGTTTTTTTCCGAGGTTGAGCGTAAGACGTTTCGCTCAGCTTTCAATAGATTCTTTGAATAAGAAGTATGTAACACCATTACAAGTCCGGAATAGTTATCAGATTTGATAAACACGCGATGTCACAACATGGCGACCATTTCTTACCCAATTACAGATGTCTGTGCGTTTGGCTATTGATGATCAAAGTTTATCTACTAGACAAACATGTATAAGCAGTTGTGACCTCACGATAGACTCCCGCCTTTATTCTCAGGCGCCAGGATAAAAAGTTACAATTTTGGGCTTTGGGAAGCATTGTTGATCAGAGTTCGCGTTCAGTAAGTTTGTCACCGAACGCAAGGGGAGTTGTTCTCTTGTCGAGATTTTGTCTCAAATTTATGTGAAACAATTTGCGACTAAAGTCTAAATTTGGGCATGATTAGTGATTTTGAGTTGATATGTCGATTACAGCACGACACCTTTATTTCAGGTCTGCCAGCAGCTGTAAACCGCGTCATTTTTACAAATGTTAACGAAATAAGAGCTGCAATACCCGTCCTTCTATGAGTCATAACCCAGAAACACCAAAAACTTCTTCGTTCCTTCTCCATTACCAGCTCATTCGAATTCCGAGATCAATTTGCCAATTCGCTTCAGGAACTTTTAAAACTAGAAGGTGCATTTCAGCCCTAGCTTGAAGGGGCTTGAGCGGTTGAAACGGAGTTGGGGGCAATAAAAAACCTCCCTAATTGAGTCTTCCTTGGTCTAATTGTAAAGACTTGTTAAAAAGTTGTCAAAATCTCGTGGGGAAGCCAATAGGTGAATATCTGTAGTCATCGACAGGGGAGTTGGTGACCCCTCCCTTAATCGTTACTTATTTTGCTTTCTAATTAAAATTCTAGAAAGACGAACGTGTGAGAGAGACAATCAACTAAGTAAAGTGTCATGGTTTAATGTAATCGACAGAAAAACACTGTAATCCTACAAATTCAACTACTTTATTAAACAACGAGTAATAATCATAATAAGGAGCGACTCCTAAAGGTAGCACAATACTTATCCTCGATAAACTTAATTAGGCCCATTACAGTCTATATTTTAGCTCACAGCTAAGCCAAACTCGCAGTTTCCTCCAACTTTTCTCGAAATTAGCAATCTTCCCCTATAGTTCTCTCTTACGGTATAGCTTTCTACACAGTCAATCACTTCCGACAACAACAACAACAACAACAACCCCTACTACACAACTGCAAACAAAAGCAACACGATATAATGGTTAAAAAACATTGTAATGGCCTTTCTCTAACTTTATCCACCACTTGAGAATTAGTAACTGTGTTGAAAAAGATTTAGTATGGCCCGGCTATTTTGCAAAGTGTTTTGGCTTGAGCGAACAATTGGAAAGAAACATCAACACTGGACGATTTTCAATCAGTTAAGTAAAATGCGTGCGTGTGTATCGAAATTACGATGGTAATGGATATGTCAATTTTTGCAGATGTAATAGCGTAATAGAGTGCAAGAGATGTCGTTCCATTTGCCATTTTTTCTTTGTATTTCAAGACAATTCTCAGATGATCCTCCGTTAGGTTCAACAGAATCCCACAATGTGAACCCACCCCACGCCATCCCGTCCTCCCAGACCCAAGAGCCGTCCACTGCCTCGTCGTTTCCTCCAACCCAGACGTTATGACCACTTTGGGAGAACAGTGACCACAGATAATCGTACCTATGCTCGCTTGTACCGAATTGTAAAGTTCAACTTAACTTCTAGAATCACAATGAGGCCATGACTCAAAAAGCAAAAGCAGTTAGCCACCCATTTTCATTTACATCACTTCTAGCATTTTGAGTCCACGTGATCAAGCTATCTTCGTACATCCTCGCTGGTATATCGTACCCATGACGCTAACTTATATTGTTGACATCGTCCCCTAAAATTATCAGTGCATTATATCGATTCCCTGTTTTGCTTTTTTGTGTTGAATATTGCGAAATGGCCAGTTTGGCGGCCTCCATACGCATGTGAACAAAAAACAGGTGCGCAATGGACCAAGATCATGGGAATGCATTCAGTGCGTTTGTGACAAGCTTCAGGAAATTGGTTCTATCGAAAATAACAGCAAGCCTAAGTTATGGCGCGTTTTGTGTGCGAGCGTAGCTTCAGGTACGATTTGTGAGGATTAATGCTGTTTCATATCTCCCCTGCGCAAGATTTTGAACGATGAAAGGTTCAATTTTGTATTTCAAAAAATTGATTAAAGCAACTTACGACAATTGTTCCCGGAGTGAAATCCATTTGCACATACACAAGTGTAAGCATTAATTCCATCCACGCAAGTTCCACCGTTGTAACAAGAATCTGGTGAGCAGTCATCAGTATCTGAAAGGGATAAGAACTCGTAATCTTTTGTGAGAATCGAACCATCGATTCTATGGATTAACTAGGTTACTGCGACCATTTTCCACTGTTTAACTCCAAAAGCTTTAGTCAAAAATTCACCACGAAATATCCTCTAAGACAGTTATTTGTGGGCTAAAAATTTAATTTAATAAAAGGTGCCCCTGAGGGGAGGGGGGGGGGCGCATCTTATTGTTCAAGTGAGCTTAGCAATGGAAAAGGAAGAGAAAATTGCTTTGTGTTGTCTGTGGGTTGTGGCTAATGGAAGGACGGGCATTTTGACTCTTATTTTGATAACATTTGTAATGAGAAGTATGTACTTTTAATGACCAATAGTGCATTTCATTCCTTAGAATCAGTTTGAATAATAGTCTTTAATATTTATAAAGAAAAGAAAAAGCATCACTTGCGCCATTTGTCCGAGTAACGCCTGTAGAGGAACACTTTTAATAAAAATATTTTGGAGTCTCTTACCAATTTGACAATTATCCCCATCAAATCCAATTCTGCAAAGGCATCTGTATGAGTCGTCATTGTAGTTCGGAACACAAGAGCCTCCGTTCTGACATGGTGCATTTATACAAGGAGACTAAAATGAAAAAAATACCAAGAGTAAATCAACCTAAATCCGATCATAAGGGATCGCTAGTGGAAGTGGAGAGATAATTTCACTAGTAGATGAAGTAAATGGTACCTTGGTGTCCCTGTTACTCGACCACACCGAAAGTAAAACCTAAACGTTGCTTACCCAGCTGGCCGCTAACGAGAAGTCAGACTATGGCTAAAGGGACTTTAAATTTGGAGATTGAGCCTGCAGTCTTTGTGGTTTTTGTTATACATCTCTTCAGCTCATATTAAAAAAAAAAGGCGAGCAATGCTAAAATATCAAAGTTTGTCCATAGCAGGATTGGAGTTATTTATCTGCTGGCTTTGTTAGTTGCTTCAATGAATAACCGTGGGCCAATACCCATTATTGAAACAAAAACTTCATCTGGTGTTTTAGACGTCCAGTTACCCCGTCGGTTTCTGAACAAGTAAAAGTTAATGACACGCAGCTGTTCGAAAAGAAAAAAAAAAAGGAGAGAGAAGAAGAAAATCTTACAAGTTCAAATTTTCCAAGGCGGCTTTTACTACGCCATCGAGTTATGAAAAAGAAGTTGAAAAGGAGAGCACAAGAAAATGTATTTACCTCCTACAGGAACTGCCAAATCGAATATCACTAATGGTGTCACTCTACAAAACAGATCACTGAAAACTTCTTTAAGATCCTTACAAATTTGACACGTCGCTATAACTAGGTATTGTTTCTCCCCAGCTTCTTTCTGAATTTCGTCCAACTCACCCACCTTTTTTCCTTTTATGCAACACAAGTAGCTAATCCTACTTTTGTCTTTTGTTTGGAATTTTTAAATCGAACAGATTTTATATTGAATTATTCGTGCGCCGACTACTGTTACGTAACTATGCAAAAAGATTAAAAGACGCCATTGAAAGAGTAAAACTAAACATAGGAATTGCAAACAAAGAATTTTGGCCAAAATTAAATTTCAAAATTGGTCCAGATATCGTCTCTGTCTGATCATTTGCAATTATCATATCAACTTCCTACTTGCAGAGTTAAATGTAAATGCTCTGACCAGAAACTGGTATAGCCTAGAAAAAAAATGCGGTTACGAAGTTGCGGTAACTTCTCGAACTCACAAGCTTAATCAAATTTGAAGATGAATTACCATGACGAGAAGAAGTGCCTCGAATCTTACCTTCTGCAATGGCCGGATTTTATGATTCAAAGAATTTGACTGAATCACACCTGCGCAGAAAATAGTTATGAAGCAAAGAACAGAGAACCAACTCACCCATTTTGTCACATGACGAGAGGTCGAGTTTTGTTTCAAATTTTGGGAGTTGTTAAAGATGTCATCAAATAGCAGCTCGCACCAAAGTGTGTTGTCCTCGTCTTCTGCAGAAGCCATATTTAAGGAAGTACAGGACGGTGTATTAAAGCACTTCATGGAACAGTCCAAGTCTTTCCCAACATTGGATGCCTGAATTCGTTTCGTTGTATCAAGATAATGGGAAGGGTACTCCACAAAATTAACAAATCGAAGCGTAGATTGAGAACTGATCTTTATCTCTCTGGTGGCATCAACAAGAATTATCGAAAATACACGGAGGCATAAAAGGTTACTGAAAACAACAAACATTTCTTTCCTTGCTTCTGTTAGCTCTACAGTTGAAAACGTTCCAGCCACAAACAATGAAGAATTCAGCTTTGTTTTTATAATCTTGAACGAGTTAATGCATTATTTACTACAAATGACTCGCGTGTCACTGCGAAAAGAATAACTAAATATAAATGGCTTGTAGCTTGAAATGGGAGGCTTTATATCAAAAGCTGCTGTTATGATTAATCATCGTTTGGGGGATTTGAACAGCTATACCCTGTACGTAAACTTTGACTAATACTTTTGATCGATAGCGGCGAAATACCTCTTTGCTCCTAAATGACAACCTTCTCCAATGCATTTGCTAAATTATTGATATACGGTTATGAGTTCGAGTTACATAAACTTTTATTTCCACGAATGAAATCATGGTAGTATTTCAACAGTGTCAAACGCACAGAGATATAAAGACTAACATACCATGGCATTGCTTCATGCATCGTCGTATACGTACTTAATTTTTTTGTCAAATTCAAGATGTTTCAAAAACCCCCTACGCTTGTTAAATTTCCAGAAATTATAATTTTTTGTTGCGTCTATAGGCTCGTTTGTAATGAGAAACACATAGTGAAGCACAGCAAATTGAACCCTTGAACGAAAAAAATTATTTTCAAAGGAGGGACACAAAACTTCGAAGACCTGCTACTGAGACCAATTTGCTTCAATTCAACAATCGCTTTAGGAGCTTATACAACTAGAAAGTGCTTTACAGTTTACGTATGGCAAGCTTGAGGATTCAGAGGTAGAATTGAACTGTTTTAAGAGAATTGAGGTTGAAGCCTGAATAATTGAGTGTTACTTGGCCCACAGGCGGCCCAAGCTCCAGCTGTGAGATGATCATCTTGCGCAATAACGGTCATGGCGGAATTATAAGAGTTTGTATGGGAATATTTACGACCGCTCCAAGGAATAAAAAAGTAGGTCCGCAATGCGTACTTGTGTAGGATTTCATTGACAAAGTGTTTGCAAGGGGTTTTTGAGCGGAAGCAAACCTGTCGCTCACCGTGAGTCAACTGTACTACAGGGGTGATATTAGGCCTGGAATCAACAGCCTGAATAGTAATTTTTGTGCGGGAATTATTTGAACAAATACAGATTCACAGGAGAGATCTGGGGTATTAACTTATACTTTTATCAAGCAATATGCCTTTCCCTCCCTCCCTGGAACGAATAACAACAAATAAATTACCTCTTGATGGCTTAGGCTATTTATTTGTTTATACGGCAATACTGGAAACACTTGGAGCAGTAAATATTTTCGTAACAATCATTGAAAAAATTTCTGCTTCTACTGTTTAACTCGTGGATACACGATAGCTTAGAAACGAGTTCTTGTGGGCGCTCTGCGATATGCAAATTAGCGTGGACTCTTCGTAATTGGTCGTAATTAGTCGGCTTCGAACTCGAGATCTATCCTTCTGAAGAAGTAAGTCCAAAGTCCTGGCGCTACTATGATTGCACTGATCGTTGCGATATTTATTGTCTTTACACGCCTGTTTCGACATTTACTATTTTGAAATGGACTTCAAATGTTTCAGATTAGTGCTATGATCAACTTAAAAACCAAATTTGAAGGGTCTTCGAATCGTCCATGCGCTAAACATAACGAGGACCAGCGAGAATCACGAAGACTTTGTGAGTGACAGCAAGCTGTTGACACAGAAATTCCCACGGAAACATGTACCCATGACATAAAAAAAAATGGTAATTTGCAGCATTATTTCTTTCTACGCCAATTTGGGTCTTTCCGTTGTAATCGTTTCGTTTTGTTATTCTTCTATGCAAACGTGACTGTTTTGATGGTAAGCATGAAAGATGATCGCTTTCAATAAGTCGTTGCCGAGCACGTGACTATAATCTGGCCGGTGTTGTTTTGATCACTTGTCGATCTTTTTCGCTGAAAATACAGGACGACTTCCTATTTCAAGGAATGCTTTTCCAATTAATTTCTATCGCATCGGTGTAAAAAAGTACAGGTATATGGGTGTTCTGAAAAACAAAAGGGAAATTCAAAACTACGAGAAATTGCGAGTAATCGGCCTCTTCTGCTACACGCGGGTTTTTTGGGTGTAACATGCGTGTGTTTCCCATAAGTTATAAGCACTTTACGCACGTGGGAATGCTGCAATCACGAATTTTAGATTACGTGAAAGTCACGCATGTGGTTGTTTACTTACTTCACTAATATGTTTGTTTGCTTGTTGTTGTTTTTTTGGTATCCTGGAGTATTTCAGGAGGGGTTGCAGACTTAACTGTGGAATAATTGTTTAATGCAGGGTTGTCAATAAAGGTTGCAGTTAGAAATTAGCCAAGATGCTAAAGGAGCTGCCTTGAAATTTCAAGACTGTGTGTTATGTAGTTTATTTTTGTCTTTTGTAAATGGTTGTTAAACTGGACAACTCTTAGAAAGATGACTTCAAACTTAATTTTAAAAGGCCTGTTCTGGTACCAAATGAATAAGCAGCATTTCCTTATTAATAGTTTTGCAAGTTTCTCATTACAAATTCCTCTGAAAAAAGCTATTAAGCTCATAACTATTTACTGCTTTCTTTTGTTGCTCTCTTAACTTAAAAACAATGTACATCATGATAAAGTAATTTGTTAGAGGACACCGTGAAATGAGGCCCAATCAGCTTTATGATCTGTGAAATATGTTTCTAAAACATCTGCTTGTATATCAATGCTAGATATATTTGTATATATATGATCAATTACTGTGTTGTTATCAGTTGTATAAGTTGATATGAATTGTTTGTAATGGTTATCCCTCGCTAGTAAATTATACAAAGGTCTTCTGTCTGTTTCAACAAGCCAATTTATATTAGAGTCTCCAGTAATGATATTGTTGTCTGGTGAAATGTTATTTATACTTCAGTTATTGCTTCATAAAGTTGTCTTACAGGCATGTTTGGGGAGTGATATATCCCTATGATTATCCAATCCTCAAGACTTGCTAACTTAATTACTGTTATTTCAACACCATGTATATTGTGACAATAGGGGTATCCAGGTAAGTATGGGATTTTACTGTACACAGCTGTACCACCATAAGACCTTGATCCATTGCTGGAATTAAGGTTATCATTACGGAAGAGAACATAACCAGCAATGTCATACATGTCATTATTATCTTGAGAATTAAATCTTGTTTCTGTGAAAATATTGATATCAGCACTTAGATAAATTAAGTCTTTACGTATATCTTCTATGTGTTTGTGAAGAGACCTTACATTAAAATAACACAGTTTAAGAAGGAAAAATGTTATGTCATGGAGAGGGGAGATGCAAAGCTTAAGTTTTGCAGTTGCTCTTAATTTCTCCATCTGGATTAACAGCAATCTTGCTTTCACACAAATCAGAAATATATAGGCCTTCTATAGCAGTCACTCTACTGAGTCCCACATAATGTATGTGTGGAATAGTATTTCTGGTACTAAAATCAACAACAATTCTACTGTCAGTATCACCTTGTGACCTGTGAATTGTTTTTGATGCTGCGGGACGCAGTGGAAATTGTTTTCTAACAACTTGTGCTGTACTGTTTCTACCTACTGCAAACTGTGTAGTCACAGGGTTTACTGGGGTCCATGTGTGTTCAATTCCTTGTACATACAAATGTCTTTTTTCATTCCTTGTTTTCTGACCTACATCTGAGTGGTCAAATTGTACCCATACAATACCAGATGGTTTGGTTTGTTGATGTAACTGAACTAGTTTAACAACATTTCCAGCACCATTTGTCATGCCATCTTCGGTTCATACATTCATGACAAGGTGTGTTCTTTCACCCTCAGCAAGACAAAGGGTTGAGGCTAACTGTTTTGTTTTTCTTGGATCATTGGGTATTTGTCTTAGTATTTTGTTTCTTAGCTCTGGAGAGATAGCTCCAATAACACTATCTTGAGCATTTATTGTGAATTTGTTTCCTGTGGCTGCATTATGGGCCCTTTGATTAAATTCATCTACTTTAGCATTCTGTATAAATAAGTGAGGTGCATCTATTGGGTTGTAGATGTCTTCTTGTAAAGCTCTCTTTAAGTTTTGCAATGTCAGCTACTGTGTGTTTACCTTTACGCAACCTATTAAGTAATTTTACAAACAATTTGCTGTCTCTTTGACCCATGATTTCATTAAGTTCAAACATTTTAAAGTGTTTATGCCATAAACTGGGAGAAAGAACAGCATAAATCTACATTTTTGAGGTCTTTGAAAATATAAGCATCCGTAACAGATTCTAATTGGAATAAGTCACCAATAGCAATTATGCTCACACCTCCAAAATCCTCTCTACAGCCTTTTATATCTTTAAGCCTATTGTTTAGCTGTATTACAAACATACCATTTCCTACCATTGAGATTTCATCAACAAAAATCAATTGACTTCTCAAAGTGTTTAGTCTACTTAAATCAAGCTGTTTGTAATTTCTCAGTGATTGATTGGCAGGAATGGCCAGAGTGCTATGAAGAGTGTTACCCTTAAGCTTTACCAGTTGGAGCTAATAGTATAACTTTGATCTGATGAAAATCATCACCAGCTCTAGTGTTATAATACTTAAGCACTGCCTGATACAAATCTTTTGTTAAACGCGATTTGCCAACACCAGCCCCTCCACTGAGGAAGCAGTAGAAAGGGGTTTCTGAGGTTTTAATCTGATGTAAAATGTGATAAAAAATTCTTTTTGCTCTTTATCGGGTGTCTGGACCATTTGACGAAAATCGAAATCAGGTAATTCATTCAATATCAGTGGTTCATTATTCAGCGATGTTGATGGAATGTTGAGATCATCAGAGAGGTCATAGTTTTCACTTAAATCAGGATGTAAATCTTCATGAGATCCAATCCTTGAACGGAATTGGTCAATGGAGATCCCCATATTTACTTGTGTGCTTGAGCGAGCAACAACAACAATCCAACTAACTAGAAACTCAGTTTATTACAATAGATAACACTCTTGACAGTTCAAGGCAAACAATAGTTT